ATAAAAATTACGAGTAATTTTTATGGATCACTAGTTTGATGGAACCAAACCGTCAAACAAAACAAATAAATAATTGATAAGTAAATTAATGATTCTAATATAATATATGAAAACATAAAATTAATTATTGTATATAAAACATATTACTTATCGCTTATTCATAGCCCAAATGATCCATCCATCATTAGATCTAACAAAACTTTTTAGAGTCGAGGAAACCATAGTGGTATCATCTACAGGCAGGGGGCACTACCGGTACGATCACTACTTGAGGGATGCAGGCGTACTCGTACCACTATCAAGTGTGCGGCCTTAGCTAGTTGGACCAGTAGTGCCATGTACACCACCACTATCGGTTGTACGGTCAACGTGAAAGCCACGACCACTAACATCATGATTAGATTTGCCCAATCCACAAGATATGACTGAAAAATAACATCTAAAACAAGTTTAACGGATAAATAACAATCCGATAGAAAATATATTATAAATCATTATGAATTAAAACAAGAAAAATTTAACATATCTAAAGTGCTCACCAAACATTAAAAAAAAATGCATAATAGGCAAAACGATATAATTTAATGAATACAATAAATAGAAGAAATCTTCAATTACAACTATCACAATAATCTTTAAATGCACGTCTATACACCTAACGTACATCAATGCATGACCGGACTTTATTATTTTGTTTCTGCATTTCTATGACAACCAAAAATTATTTAATCAATAATTTTCCTTAACATCTAATAAAATTTCGATAGATTTTTCCTTGTAAATTGCATCTTTCTCAATTAAAAAAATACTCCAAATGATCACATAAACATTACGTATACCGAGACCAATAATTATCTCGGATACTCCATCGAAATTAAATCACAAACTCTTCCTCTTAGGTCCATCGTAGAGTGTTGAACCAACTTTATTTCTTCTCAAATCCTAAACGTCTCCGATCCCTCGGGTTCGATACATAACGACATATCCCGACATACATCAATACTTATATACAAAATAATTAAACTATTTAATTCTAATTCTAACTCGATTAAATTAAAAACAACCATAAATTAACAAGTATTCTAACAAATAAAGTTATAATTAAACTAATTAAACATAATTAACCTAATTAATAAATTAACTAACACATAAATCAAATTAACTTAATTAATTCTAATTCCAACCAAATTAAATTTAAAATAAAAATTACATTAACTTAATTAACAAAAAATTAAATTTAATTAACAATATTATAATTAATTGAAAATTTATTCTAATCCAACCAATTAAAAAAATTTATAAGAATTAATTAATTAACTAAGCATAATTCAAATTAACTTAATTAAGAAAATTTTACATTTAATTAACAAAATTATAATTAATTGAAAAATTTATTCTAATCCAGCCAACTAACCAAATTTAACATAATTAATTAATTAATCATAATTAACTTAATTAATTCTAATTCTAACCAAATTAAATTGAAAATAACAATTAAATTAACTTAATTAATAATAATTTCATATTTAATTAACAAAATTCTAATTAATTGAAAAATTTATTCTAATCCAACCAATTACAAAAATTTAACATAATTAATTAAATAAACTTAATTAAAATTAACTTAATTAATTATAATGCTAACCAAATTAAATTTAAAATAACAATTAACTTAGCTTAATTAACATTAATTTTACATTTCATTAACAAAGTTACAATTAATTAAAAGATTTATTCTAATCCAAACAATTAAACAAATTTAACATAATTTAAATTAACATAATTAATTCTAATTCTAACCAAATTAGATACATAATAACAATTAAATTAACTTAATTAAAAATAATTTTATATTTAATTAACAAAATAACAACTAATTAAAAAATTTATTCTAATCTAACCAATTAAGCGAATTGAACATAATTAATTAATTAATTCAAATCAACTTAACTAATTCTAATTCTAACCAAATTAAATTCAAAATAAAAATTAAATGAACTTAATTAACAAAACTTTTACATTTAATTAAGTAAACATTAATAAAATAAACTTAATTAATTATAAATTAATTTTGATTAACTTTAAATTGCATTTAATTAAAAATTTAATCTAACGAGTTAACAAAATTCAACAATTCAACAAATTAATTAACAAATTAACAAATAAATCAATAAACTAACAATTAAATATATATACATAATTATAAATCAAGCAATTATACTTAAAATTTACCTAACAATTATAACAAATAACAACAATTAATTAAGAAAATAAAAGAGATAAAAAAAAACTAACCTAATTCTAGTGAACTTGGTCAAAATGAAGGAAGAAAACATTGGTTTTTTGGGAGAAATGGGTTTGAAGAGGTTGTTAGGGAGTGGATAAGGTGAATTTTGTGGAGGATTTGAGGGGTTAGGGGAGACAACCTTAGGAAGGAAGAGAAATGAGGAAAAATAAAGAGGGAGGGATTCCGTCGATTTAAAAAACCTGGATCAACGATCGAAATAAACCCATCGTTGATCCGTCGCTAAATAGCAACGTTTGACGCACATTTGAATTTCTAAAGGCCACCCAATTTTTCAAAATTTAATGACGGAGGTATTCTCGTCGCTAAAATGGTGATCTGTTTAGATATGGCTTGGCTGTTGCTAAAAGCCAAAAAAAATTAGCAACGGTATTAATATCCCATCGCTATTTTTTATATCTAATCCATCGCTAAAAGTCTCAAGTAGTTTTTGGTGTCATATTTAGCAATGGAAATTGATCCGTCGTTGATAATTAGTCGCAAATTTATTTCTATTCCGTCGCTAAATGTAATGGAAGCTAATCTAATGCTATTTTATCGTTATTTAGCAATGGTTTAAATTCCGTCGCTATGTAACGAATTTCTTGTAGTGAATTTTTATTTTAAAAATTGTTAAACATTTTCAAACTTTTAATGGTTGAGAGCATTTACATTAAATTATCTACGTACTTTGATTTTTTTTTATTGAATCATCAATTTTTTTTAAGAAAACATTTATTTATTTATTTTTATATTTTTTGTATTTAAAAAACAATAAAGAAAATTGAACAATACTCGATCATTAAAATTTTAATAAAAAAATAAATTTTGTTTTTAAATGTGAAATTCTTAGTAAAACTTTAAGAAAAAAAAATTAAAATTTAAACATTTTGAATAAAAAAGTTTTGTATTTTATTTCATAAGAATTTCCAAAATTCAAATTTGTTTTTCCCTGGTTCCATTAATGCTTTATTATTATTTTTTTCTATTAATACTTTCTGCACTTAAATATTTGTAATAGGATATTTCCCAATTAGTTTCTTTTGATGAATGAAATTTCATTCATTAAAAAAAACTGATTTTTTTTTGTGGCAATAAAAGTTAATTTTGGATTGATTGTTGTACATTAAAACTAAATCTATCTTCAATCCAACTAATGTATTTACAAAAAAAATTAAAAAAAAAAATTTATGTTTTCTTAACTCTGACTTTCTTTGATGCTGGGAAACAAATACTTGACCTGATCCATTATCATTGGTTCTCTTCGATTATGTGTTTAAAATTAATTTTCAAAATAAGATTGAATGGAAAAGTATAAATTAATATATTTTTCAATGACTAAGATATCAAAGCCATAAATAAATAAATAACATTCAAGAAATATCATTCTAGATAATCCAGCCCAGAGAGACGATTCAACACCTTATAAAAACATTCAAGTAATTAAGAATTCAACATCTTATAAAAACATTCAAGAAATTAATTCTTTTCTTTTTGAGCGTTTGTAAGGTTTATTATACCGAAAAGCTTAAATTTTTTATATTTTTTTTATTATATTAGCATTTTTTTAATGTCATATACAAAATACACAAATTAAGTTTCAATTAACCATATTAGTGAATTTGTTTCAATTAATTATATTAGCACGCATGATTTTTTTGATTAAAATTCTGTTAACATATGAGGTGATAAGAAATTTAAGTCTTTTACTGTTAATATTTTTTTCCCGTCATATAGATGTTAACAAAATTTTGCTCGAAAACCATAATGCGTATTAATATGATTAACAAAAATTTAATTTTAATACAAGAAGTCATTTTTTAATACTAATAAATCTCGAATCTTTTTTGTTATACATTACATCATATTCCAATAAACTAAAAAAGCTTTCCAAACAATTTTATTTATTATACCAATGAATCTGTCATTCAACAAACAGAATGGATTTAAGAAATTTTATATTAATACGTATTTCATAAAAATGGATTTGGATTTTTTTTTCAATGATAATACTTTCCGATTGATTACTTAACTCTTAAGCTCGAGTATGTACCGTAGACGAAGGACAGTTATATGATATAAATGCATGGAAAAAGACTCAGTTACTTTGGACTTTCTTTTTTAACTTTTGAAAAAGGAAATGATCAACTTTCATTCTTTATGACTCGCCTCAGACTTTAAATCCTCGTCCCGTTGGCTGCTTGGATTAGAACAAAGAAAAAGGAAAAAAACTTCAAATCCATATATAATCAAGGTAGAAACTTGTTGATTTCATCTGTATGTTATCTTATTTCTATATATCTTGATCTTGGATTACCAGGTAATGATCTTCCTTGCAACTCGGTACTGATGTTTTATCATTATATTTACTTCACTTTCAAAACCTTAATATCTATATGCATTTTTATAATTTGAGTCTGACTTGTTGAGGATGATCAAAGTTTACGCAATACCAAAACTTTTCTTTTTTTGGACAAATTAGCCTAGTCAGTCTTATGAACATATATATATTGGGTTTAGTTTCTTGGACTGAAAGAGTGAAATGGCATATGAATCTTTATTTGTTGGCTAGGAAGGAATCTGAATAGTTGATTTGTGCTTCGGATATGTTTCCCTTCCGACTTGCTTGTCTTTTCCAATTTTCTTTTGTTTATGATTTTTTTTTCTTTCCAAGCTGTACGCAGTTGATGAAGAACTTTTGTTTTTTGGTATAGAAATGGAAGAAAGAAAGTGGGAGAATTTAGAGCTTGACTGTTTAGCGAATGCGTTTGGAAGGGTGGGAATGGAATCACTTCTGCTGGATGTCCCTTTTGTGTGCAAGTCATGGTACAAAGCCAGCCTCGATCCTTCCTGTTGGAAGCGGCTTGTTTTTCCTCGAAATATTGAATCAGATTGGATGACTACTGGTGTTCTCTTACTGGATAGATTTATGGAAGAATATAAAATTGGAAACTGTTCTGTCGATGCATTTGTTAAATTTATAGTTGGTCGTAGCCATGGGAATTGCACTTGTCTTCTTCTCCCAAGTGGCTGTACACAAGAAGTTATAAAGTACATTGCTGATGAGTAAGTTCTCTTCCCTGTCCAAAAACTAACACTAATAATTTAGAATTTTAAAAAAGAAATTATTGAAATGCTGTTTTAAGAGTATTTTACTTGTTTTATATATATATATATATTGGATCAATATGTGTTATATCTATACATCAATTGCTCTACCAAATGTGTTCGTATAAATTTGTATTTTTGTTTTATCATATTTTGCATTTGTTTTCACACAAAGAACTTCAAAAATATTTCTTTTCTTAGTCATCATGTTGATTGGTTTTGTCATGAGAATGTTAGTTATATGCATTTCTAGTTCGTTTAAAGAATAGAGTTGAATGATTCTTTTCAGATGTCCTGCCTTGATATCTCTGTCATTACCCCTGGATATTCTCCGATCAACCATTATTCCAACGCTGATAGGAAAGTGGGAACATTTGGAGGATCTGAGTCTTGGAAGTTCTCGAAATTTTGTAGATATAATTACCCAAATCAGCCTTTGCTGCAAGAAATTCTCTGCCCTTCGTTTATTGTCTGCCAGGATTGGGGAAGCGGAGGCATCAGCAATTGTCACCAATCTTCCAAATATAAAGTACCTGGTTCTCAGAGGGGGACAGATCAATTTTAAGAATCTAGTGATAATAGTGGAAGGATGCAAAAGCCTTGTCTATTTAGATGTAAGCGACTGCATAGGTTTTGACCCTGATGATGAGAAGGTACTGGAGCTAGCTTCGCATATCAAGACATTCAAGTGTGAAGGTTCAATGCTGGAGGAGGATTACTATGAGGATTACAATGACTATGAGGACTTTACTGGTTACATTTCACTTTGAAGTTTGAGTTCAGTTATGGGGTGGGCTATGCTGATGATGAACTTTTCGTTGTTTATGCTGCTTGTCTGTTTAAGGTTTGGATGATTTAGTTTTTGAACGTTGCTTTAATTTGTTGTGTTGTGTGCTGTTTTGTGGATGTGTCTGCTCTGAATTAGGGTTCCTGTTCCTTGAATTTCGAATGGTTTTTCAATATATATTTTGTGCTTGGTAAGGACTACTGGGTCCCTGATTTTCTTGGACGTTCTTATTGTTGTAAAAGTGTCCAGCTTTATCCTTCAAGTTCTATAAGGTCCTGAAGGGTGATATATATCGATAGAAGAATTTGTTGCTGATATTGCAGGGTTGAATAAGGAAGCATTAGCATAGGTTTTGAGATTGAGATCATTTGTTTTCAGATTCTCATTTTGCGAAGCTACTAGCATCTTGATTCAAGAATCAAGCTGTACTTCATCAAAAACTCTATTCCTGGCAGAGATATTTCCAGAAGAAAATAGCAGAACTTTCGAGGTTGAGAAAATTTGGTTCGTTCCTGGCACGAACTTGCCTGATACTGTATTCGAAATTGTAAATTCTTACAATGGGTTGGTTTGCTTATGTAGAGTTTCTGAAGCTAAAAGCCTGGAAGAATACTAGGAATATTGTGTTTGCTTGCAATCCAATCTCAGGCGAGTACATTGCTATTCCGGTAGCTGATAAAGAAAAAAATCGTTTTGGACAAGATTTTTGCTATTGGATTCAGTTCCAATAGCAATAAATACAAAAATGCTACATGCTATGGAGCACTGTTTGATAAACGGTTTTGAGAAAGCAAATTAATAAGTTCTCTCTGTTTCAAAAATTAAATATTTAGTTTTTTTCTTTATATCCATTTTATGCTGTTTTCCTATTTTATTTTATTTTTTAAGCAATAAGAAATAAAAAATAGATATTATAGAAATAATGATGAGAAACAATATATATTTTTGAAAATAAAGTAATATTAAATTAAACGTGATCTATATTTGGTGAAAAGCCTATCTAAATAATTAGTTTTTGAAAAAAATAAAAAAAGAGGCCTAATTAATTTGTTTCCCAGAACTAGAGAGTAACGATTAAAAGTTTAAAAATGCTTAAGATGATAAAATAATAATTTTGTTTTTTTCCCTTAAAATTTTATGAAGCATTTCCAGTTTTTTATTCAAAATTTATTATTTTTCTGAAAATTTTTAAAATTTTAATTTTTAAGAAACTTATAATTTTTTTTATTTCTTATACAGTTTCATTTATAATTTTTTATTTTTAAAAAATTATTTAAAATGTTCAAACTTTTAATGGCTTAGAGCATTTAAAAAAAAATTATCTAAGTACTTTGTTTTTTTTTTTTATTGCTTAAAAACCTTCACAAATTTTAGTACAAAAAAAAAAAAAAAAAGCAAAATAATGATGAAAATCAATGATGGTCATAAGCAAATATTTTTCTCTTATCACGTCACATGTAAACAAAATTTTAATCAGTAAAATTACGCATACTAATATGGTTAATAAAAACTTAATTTATATATTTTCTGTTTAATATTAAAAGAACATATTAATATGATTAAAATGTATAAAATGTATATTTTTTATTAGAATAAGCCCCTTTTAATACTAATAAATCTAGTATCTTTTTTCTTATACATTACATCATATTCCAACAAACTAGAAAAGCTTTCAAAACAATTTTATTTATTATACTATTGAATCTGCCATTCAACAAACACAATGGATTTAAGAAATTTTATACTACTCGTAAAGTACGTATCAATACTTATTTCATAAAAATGGGTTTGGATTTTTCTTGTTTTTCAATGATAATACTTTCCGATTGATTACTTAACTCTTAAGTTCAAGTATGTGTACACGAAGGACAGCTTTTTATCTGATACAAATGCATGGAAAAAGACTTAGTTACTTTGGACTTTCTTTTTTAACTTTTGAAAAAGGAGATGATCAACTTTCCTTCTTCATGACTCGCCTCAGACTTTAAATCCTCGTCCTGGTGAGTGCTTGGATTAGAACAAAGAGAGAGAAAGAACTTAGAAAAAAGAAAAAAGAAAAAACAACTTCAAATCAATATATCATCAAGGTAGAAACTTGTTGATTTCCTCTGTATATCTTGATCTTGGATTTCCAGGTAATGATCTTCTTTGCAACTTGGTATTGATGTTTTGTCATTACATTTACTTCACTTTCAAAACCTTAATATCTGTATGCTTTTTTATGATCTGAGTCTAACTTGTTGAGTATGATCTAAGGTTGCGCAATCCCCAAACTTGTTTTGAAAGCAAGATTTCCTCTGTAAACAATTGATGAAGAAATTTTTTTGTAAAATGTAGGTATAGAAATGGAAGAAAGAAAGTGGGAGAATTTAGAGCTTGACTGTTTAGCGAATGTGTTTGGAAGGGTAGGAATGGAATCACTTCTACTGGATGTCCCTTTTGTGTGCAAGTCATGGTACAAAGCCAGCCTCGATCCTTCCTGTTGGAAGCGGCTTGTTTTTCCTCGAAATATTGAATCAGATTGGATGACTACTGGTGTTCTCTTACTGGATAGATTTATGGAAGAATATAAAATTGGAAACTGTTCTGTCGATGCATTTGTTAAATTTATAGTTGGTCGTAGCCATGGGAATTGCACTCGTCTTCTTCTTCCAAGTGGCTGTACAGAAGAAGTCGTAAAGTACATTGCAGATGAGTAAGTTCTCTTCCCTGTCCAAAAACTAACACTAATGCAGAATTTTAACAATGAAATTATTGAAATGCTATTTTAAGAGTATGTTAATTTTTCTTTTTATATATATATAGAGAGAGAGAAATGTCACATTTTTTCAAGAGTTTGCATGATTTGATTGGTTTATATGAAGAAATGCCAGATGTTACATTTTTTTCTTCTGGATTCACCAAAAATAATTCTTTTCATAGTCATTATGTTGATGGGGTTCTAGATTACCATATTAATACAAACACCTGCATAATGGACAACTTGATTGGTTTTTTGTCATGAGAATGTTAGTTTCATGCATTTCTAGTTCGTTTAAAGAATAGAGTTGAATGATTCTTCTCAGATGTCCTGCCTTGATGTCTCTGTCATTACCCCTGGATATTCTCCGATCATCCATTATTCCGACGCTGATAGGGAAGTGGGAACATTTGGAGATTTTGATACTTGGAAGTTCTCAATCTTTTGTAGATATAATTACCCAAATCAGCCTTTGCTGCAAGAAAATTTCTGCCCTTCGTTTATTGGAAGGCAGCTGGATTGGGGAAGCGGAGGCATCAGCAATTGTCACCAATCTTCCAAATATAAAGTACCTGGTTCTCAGGGGGGAAAGATCAATTTTGAGAATCTAGTGATAATAGTGGAAGGATGCAAAAACCTTGTATATTTGGATGTAAGCGACTGCATAGGTTTTGACGCTGATGATGAGAAGGTACTGGAGCTAGCTTCGCATATCAAGACATTCAAGTGTGAAGGTTCAATGCTGGAGGAGGATTACTATGAGGATTACAATGACTATGAGGACTTTTCTGGCTACAGTTCACCTTGAAGTTTGAGTTCAGTTATGGGTTAGGCTATGCTGATGATGATCTTTCCCTTGTTTTAAGGTTTGTTACGAATGTGGAGAATTTGAGATTTGGGTTATGGAAGAGTATGTTGTCCAAGAATCTTGGACAAAAAAGTTTGTCATTGCAAATCTAATAATAGATGATCACAACTTTTATTTACCCTTAATTTTATTAAACTTAAAGGTAAAAATTTGTGATATAGGCCTGGTATTGTTGTAAGCTTCTTGTATTGTTCATAATATGTTGAGGTACAAATATTCTTTGCAAAGAAAGCCTTTTAGCGTTTGATTGTTGGATAAAATCAATTTGATCAATGCTGATGGAGAAAATGATGTGATTTTTGCTTCCTTCAAAGATAGTGCCCAAAAAAACTAAACAAGATTGAATTCAAAACATGTTCCATTGTGCAAACTATGTATAAGAAAGCTTGTTCATGCTCAACATATGAATCTCCTCAAATTACTATAATTGCTTTGTGATTGCAAATTCAGAACCAGTACACAGCAATCTTTAGCAGGTCCAAGCTAGAATGGTGTAAAGCTAGCTTACTTGTTACGTTCCGTCTAAAAGAGGGATTTTTCTAGAGATTCTAGAGAACATTAGATAAATCTAGAAGCTTCTAGAATAGTATGGAGCAATGGAGAAGTCTCTAGATAAGTCCGGAAGCTTCTAGAAGAGTATGGAGCAATGGAGAAGTCTCTAGGATGATCTAGAGAAATCTAGATATTTTCTAGAGAATTCTTGAGAATCCCTCACTAATCTAACATACACATATCTAGATAGTTCATCGTAAATATCTAGATATGATATTTCTAGAGAAACAATTATAACCATTAGATTAAATAGATCCTAACCATCCATTGAGGAGGTGTAAGGCTATAAATAGATAAGGCTTTCACTTAGTCAAAACACCTAGACATTCACAAACTTAAGAGAGTATGTCTTTAGAGTTATAAGCCTTAGAAAGCAATACAAAGAGTTTTTATATCTCTTGTGTGTGTCTTTCTTGTTTAACAACTTTGTATGAGGAAGGCTGACTTAGTTTGTCTTAAAGAAGAAAAGAGCCAAATGCCATGAGCTTGGAAAAGACCAAGTCCATGACATTACACTGAGATTCTATGGAGGTCAGAACTGGTAGCTCTTCGTCAAGTTTGTTTCTGAACAATCATTTTTTACCATGTTCTTGCCCTCTCGAAATTTGGAGGATCATAATTTCTCTGGAAGGACAATAACAAGCTCTTCATTACATGGTTTTCGTACTGCTCCTTGTTTCCAAGTTCTTCTGCGATTGGGGATTTGAGCAAAGGCCTAATCGAACATTGGATGTGCTCTCACATTTGTGCCTCGTGTGTTCTGAATTATCTTTTGAAATTAAGATGTTCTTGAACTGACTAATCCCTCCCCTTTCTTCCTCAATTTCGGTATAGAAGGAAAACCCAATTCAAAACTCTAAATACTAAATACCCATTTTGGTATACTCTAGGAAATTAAAACAAAAAGGAAAAAAAAAATCATACTCGCAACTTATCAATACAAAAGGCGCAAATTACATCTGTTATTAGTTTTCAGTTTAGGCCCAGGAAGATCAAAATATATTTAAGAATTTCTACATTGAATTAAAAACCTTCTGAAAGCAATCCTAACTCCACCCACGAAAGCGAATGCACAAATAGGCAAGCCATGGCATCTTAATTCTTCCATGGACAAACACAACCACCTCGCAGCCGGTCTTTGTTTGAAAGCTGTTAGAGCTACCATTGCGACTGAAATCTGCTAGACACAAATAGAAGTTCTAAAGGTCAAAAAAAAAAAAAAAAAAAAACTCTCTCAACTTCAACCCCATAAATCCCACACTTCGCAGTCAATTCCAAGCTCACGCTTGAGAGAAAAATGAAGTTCTAAATTTTTTTTCTTTTTTTTTTTTTAACGAGAATTTGTCAGAACACATTTGGCATGGAAAAAGAGACAAAGGGCCTCCAAAAACCTATATATTAAGCCATGCATTAAGGTTTTATCTGCAGTCTCAACTTTAAAGCTGAGATCCAAATAATAAGGTAACGTAAACTTAGAAACTGTGACAGATGTGAAAATTTTTCGAAAGGAGAACTATATCAACTCCATTCATAATCAAAATATGAACACACATGAGAAAAGTAAATTTTAACCTTGAAACCTGTGGTAAAACATGTACTAACTTTCAGCAACCTTGTGTTTTCAGTGAAAAATGTTGCCACTTTGTTTGGTCCATAACCTATTTATGGAAATGGCTAGTAAGATAACAATGAATAAATAATATTTCTCTTTCAAACAGGTAAAGGATTATCGCAAATAACCCCAAAACAATATCTTAAATACCATTAATTGACCCTTTTAAGCACAAATTCTCGGTCATTCTTAGAATGCTAAGAAAGAGAAGAGTATCGAAATGCAAACAAAACAAAACACAACACAGAGGTAAAATTTCCAACTATGCATGCAGGAACACGAGAAAAAGAAACAAACCAAAAACAGAACGGCACACGCATCATAAATGTAATAACAATACCCCACACTAGTGGGGCATTTCTCATTGTTTTAAATTTAAGGGGTTAAAGATTACATGCAAAAGGCCAAAGTCTAACTCAACTGAACTTAATCAAAATCTAACAGGGTGAATGAACTACATCATTTTTAGACAAAGCCTACGCAATTCTATGTACTCATAATACATCGCAAGGATAATACTAACACTAACAGACTTCATTAAGAGAAATAAACAATCACATTCGAACTAATTTATTATCTTCCGACTCCCTTCCACTTGTTATTTCCTTCTATTACATCATTATAAGATTAAAGACTTGTATGCAAAATGCTTTTGACTCGCACTTTAACTCAACTGAACTTAATCAAAATCTAGCCGAGGTGTAGTACGACTCTAGACAAGGCCTATGCAATTCTATGTACTCAATGTAAAGGAATTAACAGACTTCATTAGGAGAATTAAAGAATCATTATAACTAATTTATTACCTTTCAACTCCCTCGCAACCATCAATTTTTCTGTGGCACAGTGACCAGCAAATCCATAATGGCACGCATTCTGTGGGCCTCATATGCAGTGTTGGTATTCAGAAATATGAAAACAAGTTTAATAAAAGAAACTTAACCAGCCTTATTATTGACTAGTGATAGAGATGAATCTCAAGCTTCTCTCAAGTAACATCTCCCCGGACAAAAGAAGTTATTGGGATGTTTCATTTTAAAACTGGCAAGTTTTAGACAGTGCAAATCACAGTCCAGGTATGCCGCCTTCAAAAGTATTTGATCTCAGAACTACTTCAAAACACATGGTAACTTTCTCCCAAGTAAACCACAAGCTAAATCACTCTCATATTGTAAAATATATATATATAATATTTTTTTTCTGAAGCAAGCTAATTCTGATAAAAGGGAAAAAAGATCCAATACATGGAAAAAAGTTGTCAAACCTGATTTTAATACAAAGGCATGCTTCTAATAGATCTGTGTGGGTAAAACACTTTGATCAACTTCATATTACAATACCCAGAAAACTCTCCAGTTAAAACAGTTCCACATCATAAAACCACTGCTTCTAAAACTGTTCAGTTAAAAGTTGTCAAACCATTTTTGCATTGGAAAGCATAATTTTACAGATTTCAGAATACTCAACTTATGCTAAAAGTTCCAGAAGCCCACTCCCGACCTCCAAATTTCCACCCAACTAAATACTACAACTGCAAGCAAGGTGGTGAGGACTAGGAACTCTCAACCTGCACAAAAGACCACTTCCAAACAGAAATCATAAGCAGTTTTTGTTACACTATCATATTTGCCACACACAATCAGATGGTTTCCAAATTTCAGTACAGGGTGCTTCAAAGGCAACTGCACCTATAGATCACAGTAAAGTTTCAGTTCCAAACATAACATCATTTCAAAGTGAATAGATTCAGATGATGAAAGAGTTGAAAGTATTCTTTTTTTTTTTTTCTTTTCTTACTTTTAAGTGAACAAGATCGAGTACATTAGAATACTTAAAAAAGCATTATAAAACTGAAAAGTAAATAGTTCAAGCAACAAGCATCCATGAAAGAAATTTCAAAAGATACTTTTGTTCAACATCATTGACTCCAAAGAGTATACAGATACTTGAAAATAGTCAAATTGTTCTCAAAGCTTTTCAACCAAATACTGAAACTCAAAATACATATTTTGAAAATGAAAAGGAGCAGGAAATGGAGAAAACTAGTGGAGAAAACATAAACATTATTTGACATTTTAAGATTCTGGCCTTTGCAGCAAACAGTAACTTTTGGTCATATTTATAAAGACTTCATTTGCATAAGCTCCATAAACTTCAGAAGAATCAGCAGGCCAGTACTTAAAAGACTGATGCACCTATTTGCGATCTGCAAAATGAATGAGAAAACATAAAAAACAATTTCTCAAGAAAACGTTTCGGGCCAGAATCTTTCACAAATAGGTTAAAAGCATCATGGAAATATCTATTTAAATACTGAAGCATGTGATGAGTTAAAAGTAATTGAAGTCGTGAAAGAAAACCCTGTAGGTATCAAACAAAGTCCTTACTCACCTCCAAGTGGGGAAAAAAAACGTTCTGAAAAACTGACCAACAAATAAATGTTAGCATTGAATTAGAGTGCCTTAAAGACATTAAAAAGGAGTGCATGAATAAACGCATGAGGAGCTACAAAATGACTACTAACAAACTGAAAATGGCTTCTTCATGCATAGTAATATAAACCCTGCAATGCTTCTATTGCATCCTCCAATCTTTAGATAAATACATGATAAAGACAGAAATATACTTTCTTGTATGATATGCATCATCTATAGGTTCTAAAGTCCTAATCAAGTATTAGAGGCAGTAAATGAGGATCACCCCAAGTTCAATAACTGCGGAATAACTATTATACCTGAGAGATACCTAGTGACCCATATAAGGGGTATATTGCCCGTGTTGTCCTCTCCCAGATCCACCCTGTCCCATCTGCTGATTTGGATATCCACCCTGCATAGCTCCCTGATTCGCATAAGCTCCAATCACTCCGGGACTTATGTTCGTCTGGTTCCCATAAGCACCTTGCATTCCATGGCCTGTACTAGGTACACCACCCTGAGTCACAGCCGCAGCAGACCCCAAAGTCCCAAGCAAATTGGTCAGCCCCCCCAATCCAGCACCCTGAGATGCAAGAAACGCTGTCAGCGCATGTCCAAGTGCAGGGTTCAACGCAGGAGTAGCGGCGGCCCCCTGATTAAACCCAATCCCAACTCCAGCAGCAGCCGGGGCCATTAAATGACCACCTCGACCCCCACCAGCAGCATACCCACCACCATCATTCCTCTGGTAATGCGAGCTTTGCAAATTATGATGTTGCTGTGGTGGTGGTTTCTGCGATTTCCCAGGTTTCGGCCCATCAATAGCTTTCTGACAATGCAAAATATGCCCTTCGAAAGTCTTATGGGGCTCTTCTAACGCTTTCTTGGCACTCTCAACAGTCCTATAAACAAACAAACAAAACCCTTTTGGCTTCCCAGTCGCTTTGTCAAGCCCTAATGGTCCTTCCTCAACCTCTCCGAACTCCGAAAAGTAACCCAACAACTTCTGGGGATCCAAATCTGCTCCCACGTTACTCACATAAATCTTCCTCTGCGTATACTCTGAAACCGACTGCTGTGTTTGCGAAGCAGTAGCAACCGGCCCAGACGGTCCAGCACTCGACTGTGGAACCGGGCCAATCGAAGCCAGTTGACAAGCTGTCATCCTATTCCCAATCTTCTTCTGCGGTTCCCTCAACGCCTTCCTCGCCCCACTCCTTTTCTTGAACAAAATAAACCCATAACCCTTTGATTTCCCTGAAACCTTATCGCACACGGCTTTACAATCCTCAATCTCGCCATAAGGCTTAAAGGCATTCATTAAAGCCTCAGCGTTCGTATCCCAACCAAGCCCATGAACAAAAATCTTCCTGTGCACCGGATCTTGGTCAGCCACCTGCCGGATTTTATCCGCAACATCCCGGTGAGAATCAGCTGCTTCACGTAGTAAATTAATCAGCTGGTCTTTTCCAAACGGTTCAAGAAGTTTATCAATCGGCTCCTCATCTTCATCTTCTTCATCGTTTCGATTCTCACCAGCTGAGATCTCAGCGTTTTGATTGGTTTCTCCATCTTGATCATCTTCATTTTCTTCTTCCTCTTCGACTTCTTCATATTCTTCCTCTTCTTCAACTTCTTCTTCTTCTACTTCTTCTTCGTGTTGTTCTTCTTGGGGTTCTTCCTTTGGTTGTTCTTGTTGCTGTAGTTTATTCGGCGGTTCTTCCGCTGGTTCAGTGGATTTGGAGTCGTGCTTTCGTTTTTTAGCCATGGATTTTGACGAGGAAAGAGAGAGTGCTAATGATTTGGTGGCTAGGGTTTGCTTCCGTTAGGTGATGATGACGACGAAGAAGATGATGATGGAAGGGTTTTTATAAAAATCAACCGAACTTCTAGATTTGTTTTCTGTGTTGGAAATTTGTGCCGACTCTTTATGGGCTTGCTTTATCTCGGCCTTGTGTATTGGGCCTGTAGCTTTCCTCTGTTGCTTTTGGGCTTAAACTTTTTGTATTTAGGCCGAACCTCATAAACACCACCCAGCTATATAGATAATCTCGATGTTACCATTAAACATTTTTTAGTGTTAATTTTACCTCCAAATTTTCAGAAATTTTAAATAAAATATTTTCATCTATTTTTAAGGTTTTTTATGCAAATTGTACTGTTTTTGTTAGAAACAACACAGTTTTGTAGGAAAATCAATATTTTTCAAGTAATTTTAATAGAAGTCTTTAATTAAAAAATCAAAATAATGTAATGGTAAATTTAATTCAACAATCAATTTAGATGCAAAATTGATAGTATCTCAATAGTTTGGTAGAACATTTAACGTTTGTCCTTATAGCTTACTAGTATCCAAGTATCGAGATTAATTTCATCTAAATCGAATTTAGATAAACCATCTAGATCAATCGAATTGATGATTTTATTACGAAAAAAATATTTATCACCTCTTAGGTTTTAACTTCATTATTGAATAGTTTTTATTTATAAATTAGTAGAGGTGCATGCAATAGGAGTGAATGTAGATAGAAATTGCAATTATTGATATAGTTTTTTTTTAATATTTTCTTTCCGTCATATAGGGATGGCAATCCAATCCGCTCCGACACTACCCCGCCCCACTCGTCCCATTAAGGACGAGGATGGGGCGTGAAATTTTGCCTCGAACGGGGCACGGGGCGGGGATGAGGATGGCGATCCTCGCCCCGCCCTCGCTCTTTTACATCCTCATCCCCGCCCCGTCCCATTCTTTACCTTTAAAAAGGATAATTTGACGAGGCTTCGTCCCGCTCCGCCTTATTTTGGGTGGGGATGGGGAGCGAATTTTCGCCCTGAACGGGGCATGGGGCGGAGATGGGTTTTTTTCTAAAGGACGGGGTGGGGATGGGGATGGCAATCCCCGCCCCGCCCCACCCCCTTGCCATCCCTACTCGTCATATAATGCCTAGATTCTAGTATTTTTTAATAGATGCTTAATATTTATTGAATGTATAAATGAAGTATGATCAACAAAAAATAGGAGGAGCATTAAAGAATAGCATAAGCTATCGATGGTGTTAAGATATATTTAGATTCCAAGTTATTATTATTTTTTTATAGCAATATTTAGATTGTCGATCTTCAACGACAATTAATACATACTTGAAAATTTTCCATTAAATCTTTATTGTATGTTACAAGAAAAGTGTTACTATAAGAAAATCACCTTTTATGTCCTTTATATCCATGACTAATGTTAAGAAAATTAAAACTATTTAAAAGTCGATTTCTTTCATGAAAAAGTATTTTTCCTAATTTTCCAATGCAAAACAAATACTAGAAAATAAATTAAGAAAAAAGCATTTTTCAATCAACTCCTAAATAGTGTTTATTTAGAGGAAAATATTTTAATCTAAAAAATGGGGGGACAATTTTTTTTCTCTACTACCAACTCATAGCATTCACCAATATTATGCGTTAATCACTTCTACAATCACTATCAACGTCACTAATACCACCACCCTCCATCATTACAAGCCACCACTTCCAATGTCATCACAACCACCATTGCTAAAGCAACCATCATTTTATCGCCATTCAACTATCATCCTCCAACACTATCATCACCATCACAACAACAATCACCTCCTCACCATCGTCACAAATATTGACAAATTTTTATCACCACCACTTAATTATTTACATAATCATCACTTCATCGTGATTTCTACCATCACTTTTGTCACTTCAACATCGTTACTATTACAATAACAATCATTACCATTAGTTGTCGCTACCACTCGCCATCATTTTTGTCACCTTATTGTTGTCATAACCAACATCATCCTATGATTACAACCATCTCTATTTGTCCTCATCACCACCACTCGCTATCTTATTAATAAAATAACCACTATCAAAGTTATTATTTTACTATTGTTCTCGTCTTCACTATTTTCAAATAACGATAACTATCATCAAAATTATCACAAATCACTTTTATAAATATTACTACTATAATTATTATTATCGTTGCTATCAATATCATCACTACTTTTATTGCTAATACAAATACATTCAAACAATAAAAAAATAACTCTTATTTTAGGAGAATACTAGTTTTTCACTTGCGTTATGTTGCAGTTTGGACGTAACATATAAAAATTATTTTAGTTTAAAGATTTGCGCTACATCGTAAATCAATCAAAATATATTGAAACATAGATTAAAAAAAATCCATTAAATTTTATTATTTTTTATTAAAATTTTATGTTTAACTAATTATTCGTTATATTTTTTCATAATTTTTTTGCAAAAAAAAAAAAAAAAAAAAACATGATTTATCTTATTTATTTGATTCTTAACTAAAAACTTGTCATAATCGTAAAAGAAAATCTAAAACTCCAAGAATTTTTAACCAAAAATTAATTTTGTAAATTATTTTTTCAAAAAATCTAATACAAATTCTTCAAATTTGTGTGTGTGTGTGTGTGTGTGCACAATGGGGCAAGGACTACTATCATTTAAATTTCTAAGAGTCCACCATATAAATTATATAAACATGTTTTTTAAAAGAAAATAATCACGTTCTAAAATTTTATTTAAAAATCCATACATAGAGAAAAAATTATATTTATCAATAAATAATATTTAAACAAAATAAATTTTTAAATGAAAATTGATTGGATGACATTCTCTACAAGAAATGACAAATTGAAGAAATAAATTTTAAATAATAAAATTAATATGATTTAAAATATATAAAAAACATATCATAAGTATTTTTTCTCGTCAAACTAGGCAAAAAAAAAAAAAAAGCGTTGAACATTCCAAAATATTTGCATAAAAATATTTAAAAAATAATAAAAAAATAAGCATAGCTAAGAACTAGGCCCGCACACTCGGGCGTGGAGGAGCAAACCCTATCATGGACGTTTTTTTTAAAACAAAAATACTATAACTTCTAGTGAGCTAGTGTTCATCGAAACATTGTCGAAAAATCATGTTTTTAGTTTCGGCTTCCCCAAAGCCAAATTCATTTCTTCTTCTTGTTTTTTTTTCAAAAATAACTAACTATCACAAAAATAATATTAAAAAACTATTTTAGAGTCTTAAAATTCATTTTACCGCACACAAAATATATAAAAATTCAAATCAAACTAAAAAAACTCAAAATATTTTTGGATCACAATCTACCTCTTCAAACCATTTTATGGCTTGTAACCACTCGCTAGCATATTGTATTTTTAAAGACAAATAAATTAGTGGTAATGTCAACGATGGATGTTGTGGGAATATCCCTCGCTTCTCTCTCTTTCTCCTCTCTTCGTCTCCTATAAGCATTCAAGGACCACATGACAATATAAATAAAGTTTGGGATCAAAATCTTTTTTACTAAAAACATGAGAGACTAGAGTGCAAAAATACCAATAAATAGTGAAAATAAAGAGTAGAATTGAGTGATAGTAAGAAGTGCAATTTGATGATGTGAATTAGCATTCTCTTTTTAGTGTTTTAATTAATAAAACTCTACAACTCGTAATCATTTATTTAGCGAGTTAAGAATTGATTTTTAATAACTAATTGCTAATAGTTAACATAATAGAAGAAAAAAGTATTATTAAGACATATCAAATTTACAACCATTATAAAAAATAAAAGATTAATTCTAAATTAAACATTGTCAAAATTAATTACAACGCAAGCTAGATGTCCATTCATACAATTCGATCGAGGGCACACTTGCTCAAGAATTCCTCAACCATGTAACAAAAATACAAATCAAATAGGTCCGAGTCTTGGTTGTTACGCATGTATATTTTGTTTGCAATCCAATAAAATATAAAATTATTAACCGTTATAGATATATTTATTAGATGCAAAAATCTTCTTGTTGTTGCAAAATATATATTACTTGTACTATTTTCATGTAGCTTATGTGAATATAACGATAAATAAATTATAAATTATTCTCTCTTGCTTTGGGAAATGAATTAATTAGTGATTTTAATTTTAAAAAATAAATATTTAATCTTTTTAACTAGTACCGACCATGGCTAGTTTATTTTTTATTTTTTAAAATGTCTTTTTTCTCATCAAAATTTTTTCATAATTTTATCTTTTTTTTGCCTTTTCTACTTCTTAAAAAAAAAGTAAAAAAAAAAAAAAGTCAAAGGATAAAATATATTAGTTTTTGAAACCAGAGAAACTAATAACTAATTAACTCGTTTTCCTAAGAAAGAAGGACTAATTTATAATTTGCTATTGAATAACAATTTACTCGTTTCCTACAAAATAAGGAAAGAAAAAAAGATAATGACAGTAGCATTAAATGCTTTATCTGAAAAGAAAGTGAAATGACAAAAAAAAAAAAAATCTAAAAGAGAAACATAAAAAGAGAATTAGTTAAGGATACGTGTGGATTTTCACAAATGCACTAAACCACAATGAGAGTAATTAAGAATATGAAAAGGTCATTTATAATGCAAAGAAAAAAAAAGATAAGACAAATGACAAAAAAAAAAAAAGGATTAAAGAAAAAAATTAAAAAGAGAATAAGGATTAGTATGGATTTTTACAAATCTATCCGGTGTAAGTAAAAGTAATTAAGAGAGAAAAAAAAGATGTTGTTTATAACACAAAGGAATAAAAAAAAAAAAACCAGAACTAAAAAATTAGTTTGCTTATTTATTTATTTTTTCTTTAGAAAAATATTTTTCCCAAAACAACAGAAGGAAATAAAGTTGCAGCGACTAAAGTGTAAGTTTGTCAATAAATTTAGAGGAGTAAACTATAAATTAATACCTCTATTTGAAGAAATAAATTATTAGTATTTTTTATTTAAAAATTAATTATTTAGTCTTCATATTTTAAAATCTACTTATAATTTAGTTATTTTTATTCTTTTTTAATTTTTAATTTTTTTAATCCAAAACAGTTTGATTGGAAAATTTTTATTTTTATTGTTTTTATTTTTTTTATCTTAATCCCACAAGTCACTTACTTACAAATCTAAATTTAATTTCCAACAAAAGTATTAAAACGAATAAAATAGAAAACTTGGAGGAGGAAACAGGTAACTTACGCTTTAACTCCTCCCATGTGGCACAAGCTTTTCCAAGTACAGAAGCAGACAAGAGAAGAAAAAGGGAGCTCGAGAGGGAGAGGGGGAGAGCTCGAGAGATTTTTGTTTGATCAAGAATTTAGAATCAGATGGAATCACCATTTAAAGCAAATATCCTGAAAGGAAAGGTAGCTTTGATAACAGGAGGTGGATCAGGAATTGGGTTTGAAATATCAACACAGTTTGGTAAACATGGAGCCTTTATTGCCATCATGGGTAGACGGAAACAAGTTGTTGATTCTGCTGTTGCCAATCTCCAATCGCTTGGAATTTCTGTAAGATTTCTTGTTTTCCCATCTGGGTTTGCTCATCTTTTTATGTTTGTTTCATTTCTTAATAAAAGTTGCTTGTTTTCCATGTCCTTCGTTTCATTTGTGTTTTAGTTTGTGTTTAGGACAGTGTTTTTCCCATCTAAGTTTATGCAGGAATTCCGGAGCTTTAGTAGAATTTTATTGCAAAAAGTTTCTTTTCCCTGTTATGTGTTTGGTTCATGTTTTAGTTTTGTGTTAGGACAGTGTTCTCACCATCTGGGTTTATATCATTATTTGTGGCTTATAGTTTAGGAGTGATTTATAACGGTAGGGAGCTTTATTAGAATGGTTGCAAGAGTCAAACTTATGTGGAAGACTCTGATGTAAGAAACATTGTTACCTGCATTTCTCCATTTAAACATTTGATGCGTGGAGGGACCATTCCTCCGTTTAATGGTGATCTGCCAGATTAGATTTCATTGATTATTCATTGGATACTCTGCAGATTTTTTTTTTAAATTATAATGCCTCAAACTTTCAGTAGAGTCTTTTATGTTATATTTGCATTGATTTTGCTGTCATATCTGCAGGCTGCTGGATTTGAAGGGGATGTTCGCAAGCAGGAAGATGCAAAAAGAGTTCTTGAATCAACTTTTAAACATTTTGGCAAGATTGATATTCTGGTGAATGGTGCAGCTGGCAACTTTCTTGTATCCCCTGAGGATTTGTCACCTAATGGATTTCGAACAGGTTTAAGAACTTCTTTTATATTATAATAACTGCTAGTCTGGAACATATGAAAGTAAGATAGAAATTTGATAGTATTTGGATAGTCTTTTGGCATAGCTGGCTTTACTTGGGAATTAGCTGGGTTAAAGTCACGCTTTATGTGTGGAACTGAACCTTCCTAAAGAACTCCAGTAATAATAAAAGGAACTCTTTTTTTTTTTTTTTTTCTTTTTTCAAACTGTTGTCAGGGAGCTTTGGTTTCATGGAGTTATTCGGAATGATTGGATGTGCCTTTAGTTTTAAGAAAAGATTCCCATAAAAGGATGGAGAATGTGAAAAATTAACGACAATTATAGAATTGATTAGAGATTTGTCTCAGTAGTGAGAGTGAGCTAAGGTTTGCTGCTGTCTTTAAGCAAAGCTGAGATTATCGTTTGTATCTACCCTCACGGTTTGTACATCGATCCTGTTGGCACCTTCACTCATTATGGCATGGAAATGAACCTTCCTAAAGAACTTCATTGATGATTGGAGATATTTCCTCTTTTATTTCTTCAAATGTAATATGGGAGCATTTGTTTAGGATGTTTGACGTGCCTTTGAGTTTTAGAAAAGGACTTTAAGGGATAAAGAAGTAAAAATTAAACGACGATCATCGAAAGCAATTAATCCATAACAGATTAGTCAACGTTTTGAGATATTGTTTCACTTGAGCGCTTACGCGAAAATGAGATTTTATGCACAATCTTTTGTGAATTGATTATACTATCCTTTGATACTGTAACTAAAACTGGACCCACTTATCAGCTACGTCTGTCTGGTTTTGACCAAAATCCTATTGTTCTTCTATCTACCCTCATACAGTTTTGGATATTGATGCTGTTGGCACCTTCACAATGTGCCATGAAGCACTTCCTTATCTCAAGAAAGGAGGGCTTGGACAAAGCTTATCTGGAGGTGGAACAATTTTAAATATAAGTGCTACCTTACACTATACAGCAGCTTGGTATCAAATAAATGTAGCTGCAGCAAAGGTTTGTCAAATGTATTAGTGGTTACTTTGTATATTTTGCATGTCAAGTTAAACTTTTTAAAATGTCATTTTCCAAACAGGCAGCTGTTGATGCCATAGGTAGAAACTTGGCTCTGGAGTGGGGAACTGACTATGATATTAGAGTGAATGGGATCGCGCCGGGCCCAATTGGTGGTACTCCTGGCATAAGTAAGCTTCTTCCTGAAGAGATAAATAGCAAAGCTAAAGATTTCATGCCTCTGTATAAACTAGGAGATAAATGGGACATTGCTATGGCTGCTCTCTTCCTTGCTTCTGATGCAGGTTAGTGAATCCTAATCGATTCTGAGTGTTTATTTTCAGATTCCCCACTTCTCAATTTTGTTTGTCTCCAATAGCATCTAGTAGTGAGCCTTCATGCATGCACATCACGTGCCTGGTCAGTGCACTGGAACTATCTAATCACTTATCACCTCGCAAAACAAAGCAAATTATCTTCACATCTTATATTGATGAGAACTTTGAGAACATGGGAATCATTCCATTTGGTATTAATGTATAATACTTATAGGCTTTGTTTGCTTAATGTACGTGAAGCTTCATAGTTTCCATTAGTTTTCGCTGATACAACTCATCTCAACAGAGTTTTATTTGAAGTATTTTACAGGCTTACTGTAATTGTTTCCAGTGCATATTCAATTTAGTTTGACCTTTTCATTTTTTCTTCGAATTTCATATGCTTTGCCAGCATAATTGGTTATGAAATACACCAAATTTAAATATTAATTCTTCATGGGAATGAGATAATAGTAGTTCTTTAAAATGCTTTGGTTGTTTTAAGTTTGTTACGCTTAATATTCTACCTTGGTTAAGAAACTCATCCACTTGTTTAAATTTTCAAGGTAAATATGTCAACGGAACCACTCTTGTTGTTGATGGAGGAATTTGGCTGAGCCGTCCTCGCCACCTTCCGAAAGATGCAGTCAAGCAGCTTTCTCGATCTGCGGAAAAGAGATCCCGAAATGCCCCATCTAGCAAGCTCTAAGTAAGCTCAATTATCATTCATGTCCTGCTGGAAAACACACTGGATAAATCGTTGGTTTTATACCGATCTGCAATTTGGTTTTCTTTTCCCATGGAGTAACAAGTTAATCCATTAGTGGTGGCTGATAGAGAGGACTCAGACATTGGCATCAACTATAATGAAACTGATTTTCTGTCTTTTGCATGCAAATGAATGAAATTCGAGTATACAGCGGTTTTCGCATGTTTGTAACTACACAGGTTACACTGATTCAGAGAATCCAGCCATACTGCATCAATTCCGGCTGATAGCTTCTCTTTTAAGATGTTGAAGATCACCTTCAAGACTCCATGCCAAATACAATTCCCAGAATGCTAAAAAGCTCAACTTCCCCAAAGGAGTTTTTGGTTGCGGCCATCGTTGTCATAAATTCATTGATAATTCTTAACAAACTTCAATTTTTTCCCTTTTTTATCATAGGTTTGCTAAACATATACAATGATGGAACTTTTAGTGGGCAAAAACATATACATACAACATATTATAACTATCAAAAAGGTAATAATAAATAAATAACTAAAATAAAATGAAAACATGAACTTGAAATATGAAGGTTATTAGAAAATCAATTTTAACAGTAGAGTTTTATTCACTCATCGTTGTTATTGTTATGAATTGTCACTAATGAGATTAAATTATTTTATTTTTTAGTTTTAAAAAATAAATTAATTAGTCTTTTTTGTTGCAAAAACTAATTATTTAGTATTTTTTATTAGTGTTGATCATACTTAATTTAATATTATTATTTTTTAAAAAAATTCTCATCAATTTTTTTCATAGTATCTATTTAAAAAAATTGAAAAAGAACATAAAATGGACAAAAAGAACTAAATAATTATTTTTTTAAACTAGAGAAACTAATTAATTAATTTTACAAAACTAGAGAGACTAATTTATAATTTACTCTTCTTTTAAGTGGAAGTGTTTATTTATAAGTACAGAAATGAGAAAAAAGATTAGGAGAATACTAGAAAAAAATTGATAAATTATAAATTAATTTTTCTAGTTTTAGAAAAAATTTAATTAGTTCCTTTTGTTTTAAAAACTTAATCTTTTTTTTTATTTTGATTTTTTTCTTAAGAAATAGAAAAGGAAAAAAAAGTAAAAGATATGGAAGAATTGATGAAAAAGATGAAACTTTATGAAATAAAATGATATTAATTACAGGTGGTCAACACTAATAAATAAATTAAATAATTATTTTTTTAGAAAATAAGAACTAATTTATTTATTTTTTGAAAATCGAAGGACTAATTTATAATTTACTCAGAAAGAATAATTAAAAAGACAAGGAAAAAAAAAAGGGCTAATAACAGTGACGTGGCATCATCTTCACAGACAAGAAGAATCCAGAATAAGGACCCAATGCGGAAATGACTAGTGAAGAAGCATGAGCTCAACCAGTAAAAGTCCAGATAGGGCCACTGCTAACAACCCTATAGAAAGCCCAAACGGCCGTATCGCAGTCTTGACTTCTCACTTCACCACCACCATGTCCTCCGAGAAAGAATCCGCTCTCGCTGCCGCTGCAGCGCCTCCCTCCGCCGATTCCCCCACCATGTAAAATAAAATCACTCATGTTTCTCTGTTTGTTTTCTTTTTTTTCCCCCTCTAAAATAAATTTGAAGCTTGTGATTTAATTTTAATGTTTTGCAGTTTTGACAAAATTATTAACAAGGAAATCCCAGCTAAAGTTGTTTACGAGGATGATAAGGTACTGATTATCTTTTGATGTGTTGAATTAAGGGTTTGTTTTAGTTTTTGTTTTGATTAGCAAAGATGTTACATGTTATGGAATTATGTGTACATTGAATGTTGGATTACTGCATGATTGCTGGAAAATTGGGTTTAATTAGAAACTCTAAACGATGATTGCTGTTTATCACAATGTGGGTTTGCCTAGAAAATGATTTTTTTTTTTTTTAAAAAAAGAATTTTTATTAGGTTTGTAGCTTCAAATTTTGATATTCTTGATACTTGTGTTATTTTGCTTAAGGAAATGACTATTTAGGTCTTCGGGATAGGCTATTTGTTTCCTGTTTTGATTTTTATTGTCTGTTTCTTTCTTAGGTTCTTGCTTTTAGGGACATTGCTCCTCAAGCGCCTACGCACATTCTACTCATACCAAAGGTCAAGGATGGTTTAACTGGACTATCCAAGGTAATCCCTTTTAGCTGTAGTTTTCTTGTGTTGTGGTGGGTTTAGCGTTTAGCAATTTTCTGCAAGAGTTGACTTTCTCTTAATGTAATCTCTTTGTTTTGAATAACCATTTGGAGATTGAGCTATTTTTTTAACATCCTCATATCGGCCAGCTGCTTGTGATACAGAAAATTTCATAGATGTGTAAATTCCTAGACTTGATTTTTGTTGTTTTTGCACTGATGGAACAGAATGGCCTGCATATTTATAATTGCTAGTTTTGTTTCTTGCTTTGTTTTTGTGTTCCAAAAAATTTTCACCAAATATATGGTGTTGGAAAGTTTATGAAGTATCTAAAAGGCTAGAATTGAACTTCCTTCTTTGCGGCCACGAAACCAGAAACGGATGTGTTTTTGGTTGACCTACTAGGCGTTGGTCTTGGAGGATGGTGGGATAAAGAGAGATATTTTCTGCTCTCTAATAAATGACATGGAAGAGATCAACCATACCTTAAGCATACTTATTTGTTGTTGAGTAGAGAAATGATGTGGTCTTCTGTTGCCATATTAGTCTGCGAATAATTCATACATCTTTTTTCTAGATTAGTTCATTACTTTCTAATTTCATCTCATGGACTTTCTACATTAGGCTGAGGAGAGGCATTGTGAGATTCTTGGCCAGCTGCTTTATACTGCCAAGCTCGTTGCAAAGCTGGAAGGGCTTGAAGACGGCTTTAGGGTTGTGATCAATGAGGGACCAAATGGATGTATGTGGTCTTTCTCTAATGTTGATTATTGAAGTGGAATAGCGTCTCCTTATTGCTCAATTTCATACATTTGAGTGATTCTTTTTTGGATGATTTTTCTTTTCTTTTCTTTTCTGATGCAAGCCAATTTTCTTGCAGGTCAATCTGTCTATCATCTTCATGTCCACCTCCTTGGGGGACGTCAAATGAACTGGCCTCCTGGCTAAAGATGGATTTCATATAGAAGGAGCCAAGCAGCAGTGGAAGATTTTCAACTTATGATGTTCTATCTATCACCTGCCTCAATGGGTACCCTTAAAACAAATTCCAGGACCAGTTTCTGGCAATTTAGTTAAATAATGTTGAAAGATATTGCTTAATCAGCCATGTCAAATGGCAAAACCTTATGTCTGGAATCCATCTCAACTTCGTATGATCATACAAAATATTTTATTGAACTCCATTTAATTATTTGGATTTCCAATATTAAATTATGAATGAGTCCTTTTAGTTTTGAAAAAATGAATTAATTAGTCTTTTTTGTTTTAAAAATTAATTATTTAATTCTTTGATTAGTGTTGTCACACTTACTTTGATATTACTTTATTCTAAAGAATTTCTTCTTCTCTCATCAATACTTTCATGATATTTATTTATTTATTGGATTTTTCTATTTTTTTAATTAAAAAATTAAAAAAAGAAACCTAAGATGGGCGAAAAAGTCATTATCTTTTTAGAAAGAGATTAATTAATTATTTCTGAAAACCAGTGAGACTAATTTATAATTAAAACCTATGATGGAATAAAACTAGAGATCATATGTAACCCATGGTTGAGATCATATTTTTTATCCATTCATTTCCATTAATCTTGGTGTTCTTACCTTGGATCGAGGCGATCTTTTACAAATTGAGTTAAATAATCTCTCATGTTTTAAAAACTAATTAATTAATTTCTTGACTAATGTTGATTATAGTTAACTTAATATTATTTTGTTTTAACAAGTTTCTTTTTTTATTGACCTTGTTATATTTTTTATTTTTATTATATATTTATTAAATAAAAAAATAAATTGAAAAGAAATGAAAATGATTAAGTTACAATTGAATTTAAAAATATAAGGACTAATTAACTATTTACTGAAACTAAAGGGACTGTTTAATTCTTCTGGGAAACTAGAGAGACTGATTTATAATTTACTCGAATAAAACTAGAAATCGAACTGTGACGTCAAGAGCCCAGTGATATGAACTCTTAAGCCCAGAAAATTAGATACAAGCCCAACAAGAACCCAATTGATCTTCGTAGCTGGCTAGTCATGTCCAAAAGCAAGAATTCCTTTCCTGTATTCCTCAGCTTTGTCTTTTTGGTAGACAGCCTTTGGCTATAATTTCTTTCGAGCATTTCATCAAACACCGCAAATCAGTGTCTATTAGCGTAAGAAATTCTCAAGAATCAGACCGGAAAAAAATGTCTAGCTACATGCCACTGGAACTCATAACCAAAATTCTCTCCAAACTAGACATTCAAACTCTCCTACGTTGTAGGTCAGTGTCAAAGCAATGGTGTTCTTTGATAGACGGCAATGATTTCATGAAAACCCACATGAACCAGTCTATCAAAACCAACACAAACAACACCCTTTTTATCATATACGAAGATGGTCACCTTGATTTAGTTGATTTTGACACCCTTTGTCGTGGTAACAACCCCATCTTCCTGCAAGGCCATCCAATTACGAGACTACGAAAACCAATTGACCTTTTCATTGGTTCTTGTAATGGTTTACTATCTTTAGCTGAAGAAGATGGTGGCATTCTTATCTGTAATCCATCGCTACAGAAATATAAACATATACCGCCTTTTTTTCCTTACACGTTTAACACTATTCTAATGTTTTCCTCCAATGGAGAAATGGTTTTTGGGAGGGGATATGGGTTTGGCTATGATGCAGCTTCTAATGACTATGAGGTTGTTAGAATCGTGCAGTTTCTTAAACCTGACGCTCAGTGGAAAGAATCTGAAATGACAATTTATAGTGCAATGAAACATTTGTCTTGGGTTATTAAAATGCCTTATCTTGTGCTGGCTAAAAATGCTATGGGTGTTTATCTTTGGGGAGCATTGCATTGGATTGTTAGTAGGTTTGATAATTTAACTGGTACTCAAGTAATTGTAGGTTTTGATCTTGGAGTTGATGAGTTCCGAGAGGTGCCGCCGCCTGATTATGGGGATAATGTGACTAGTTTGGATGTTGGTGTATTGGGTGGTTGCTTGTGTGCGTTTGCTAAATTTGAAGGTGTTGGAGTTGATGTTTGGGTTATGAAAGAATATGGAGTTAAGGAGTCTTGGAGTAAGGTGTTTTTGATTTCGAGTAGTATTCTGTGTTATAACTCTGTGAGGCCTTTGGGTTATTCGAACGAAGGTGGGATGGTTTTGTTGGAATTAGATAGGGAAAGGCTTCTTTGGTATGAAATAGAGAAGAAAAGAGTTGTTGATTTTGTGACTGAAGGATGGAAGCTGGATGACTTTGATGCAATTTTATGTTTGAATAGCCTTTTTGTACCTATGCATGAACATCCACCAACGAAGAAAAGGAAGATGGTGAAGAACAGGTACATATATCTTTTCTTCCCTTCATTTAACTTTGACTTGGAAAAATTTGCTATATGATGATGGGCACACACTTTTATATGATGAACATTCGGTATCTTAGTTTATGATGGTTACTGGAATAGCCTTTTGCTGTTTGTTGGAATGAGGCTAATCCAGTAGTATTCTCATGTGAGAGTTTGAGACTCCACCATATCTTTAGAGTAATGACTACCATTGTTATTATTTTAACCTTGTTACTTTTAGGATGATTTCCTCTCAACAGGCTTCAAGCTCAAATTGCAGGAAACTAGAAGCAAACAAGGATCGAGCACGGTAAAGAGGTAACTGGAGGACTTCCGCTATACCGTGAACAAGTGTAGCTTACCATTGTTATATTTGTCAAATATGAGTTAATTCTTACGTAATGAATCTGAGGTAAGCTGTAAGTTGAATGTATCTGAATGCATTGTGTAATCTACTCAATACCACCTTGTTCTCATAGGCAATTGGTTTGCTCTATCTTGAAAAATAACATACAATTTACTTAACCGATCTCGTCACCTCTCCTTGCAGGGCATACACTGGATTTGTGGTGCTGAAATCAAGTGCATGATGGGGGAGAAACAAGGGTTTAAGTACGTTTCCAGCAAGTGTTTTTGTTTTCCAGGCATGAGGTACTGTAGGATGCATTATGAATACAACAGTCCTGCCGTTTGTGGTATGAAGTCTTTATCGTGCTTTGGACATGTTGAATTAGTAGCTATAGTCCTTTTGAAAAGGTATTAAAACTTCTGCAACTAACTTGTTCAAACTTTTTCTCGTAGAAAGTCTTTTAATTATCTCAACTATTCGGTGTGCTTCCGCATTCCTTGTTAGTATAAAATTGTCTTGCTATTACAGTTCTGTTTCACTTTGCTCTTGCTCTGCATCTGCATGAACTAGGGTTACACCTCTTGGTTTGGTTTTTGGATTGCATCTGTTCTACTTACAATAATCATTGTGTGAGCATTGATTGGGTTAAACTTTCAGCTTAATTCTTCATTTGCCTGAGTAAAATCCTGTTCAACCTTTGGTATTTTAACAAACAATGGATCTTAAACATGCGACAAGAAGCAAACAGATTAAAAAAAAAAAAAAACACATTAACAAGCTCTATCTAGTAAGAGCTGCTGCAATAACATTTGATTATAAGAGCTCAGTATTAAGACATTAAGAAAAGAAAGAAAGAAACTGAAAAGCTTTTTCATTTCTTACATAACCAGTCCTATACAACTGGTGATATATACATATATATATAGATATATGCTTGAGCCATAAGCATCTCATTCTAGATGCACTGCCAAAGGATCTTCAGTTGCCCAAATTTGATGGAAAACTTTGCTACAACTTCAACCGTACATCTTCAGGAATCCAATCTTCATCCCCTTCATCATCACCGGTGATATTGCCAACGTTTGCCATCATCAGAATTTCTTGCAGTTGACATCTAAATGGAGGCCATGCCATGAATGACTTCTTAAAGAGAATGAATGAAGGAAAGATTGTTGAATTTTAAAGGGAAGGAAAGAAAAAGCTCAAGACTTTGTGGGAGGGGATCTTCCAAGCATATGCTTGAAGCATTAACTTGCCGGCCATTCTTTTTTCCCAACTTTTAAGTTATTTTTATGGTTAATAGTGATCAGCATGGGTTGTGGTTTTCTGTCTCTTTGTGCCATCTTATTTTAATTTGGACTATACCAAATCAGTCATCAAATCAGTAAAATGTATAGGCCAAATCCTTAAAACTAACTATGGCCATGCAAAATACACCATCTAAACTAGAATTTTGATCATTTAATAAAGGTTCGTGACGTAATCAGCATCTACCAACAATTTATATTAGATGAAAGTGCAATAAAACTTTATTCATTGGTGAATTGCATTTTCAAGAAAATTGGTTTTAGAGTGCTATATCATTTTCTAATCTTGAAACCCCTAAAAAGAAAGTAAAATGTTGCTAGTGAAGCAGATTCAATTAGGGTTAAAGGTTCAACATGTCCTCCTGCTATTTATGTTTTAATTGTATCTTCCTATTAAATTTTTTAACTATCGTGTCCTTCTATTTTTAATTGCGTCTGTATTTAATCTCTCCGATCAATTTTTCTGACGATGAAGGCAAAAATAACAAAAGAAAAGATGTCGAAAGTCTTCTCCGTTGCTTGAAAAAGTGATCAAAGAGACCAAATACAAACACAATTAAAAATAAAAGAACACGATAGTTGAAAAATTTAGTATAGAGACACAATTAAGATATTTGAAACAATAAAGATACATATTGGACTTGTTAACCTCATTCAATTAGAGATAGAGATAGCCTCGCAAAGCAAAGTGTTGAAGCTTGAAAGGCAAGTGAATTACTCCCTTGGCTATGAGCTCTTGCTTCTTGGATCTGTGCCGCTATAGTTTACTGGCATGGTGTTGTCGCTTGAGCCTTGCTGTGCTCTGATCTTGAAGCTACAAATTGGTCTTTAGTGCAATCTCGAAAGTCATTGGAGATGTTATGCAAAACGTCTTGACAAAAGAAAATTAAGGGAAAAAAAAAAGGAAAAAAAATATAGATCGTGATTGCCGGTAATTGGAGATGAGAATTGATTAAAGCCACACTATGGATTAGCTTTCACTGAAGACACGAGAGCCAGCACATCTGTTTGGTCTCAAAGTTCTGATCTGTAATAGTAATGAGAAAAGGGGTCAACAAGCTAATTATTTACAACGTAAACTATACCCGCATTTAAACTTCCTAACTATTTTCATCCTTGTATGCCCTCAAGATAGGATCATTTTCATCATTCAATAAATCTTCGTCCTCATCAAGTTCATTCAACTCATCTAGTATTGATTGGTTAATCCTTTTGCGAGACTGTCTTCTATGCTTCTTGGGCTCCAAACGTGGTTCTGCTTGCCGGACACCCATGTCACCAACCTTGTACCTGCGAATATTCGGGCTCAAAATTCAGAAAATGAGGCCAGGAATATTAGCGAAGGTAGGTTATTCTGACAGCAAATAAAGTGAGAATAATGGAAGCTATGTCTAAAGTAGCACTGATGTCAAATCTAGAGAGAGCATCAGTATAGGAAAAGGTTCCTTTTCTGTTAGTAAAGGAGCTTATCAACAACTTGTAGGCATTCATCGCAGCCAAAATTTTGCCAACTTCTTGCTCCATATTTTGCTTCTCAATAATAAACTAATTTGAGGCAAAAGAGAAGCTTTTAAAATAGAATTCCTTGCTTTTCAAATATAGCAAGGTTATGCTGTTTGCAAATTATACGAATTCTCATCGTACATCTAATGCTAATCATAATCTTACACCTGAAAAGGTACAGATGAAACATGAGAAGAATATGGAAGATTTTTTGTTATAACCTTGGGGAAACCTATACCAGATTCAGATTCTATTATCTCAGTGATTCCCATTGTCATGATTTTCTCTTTACGCATTAATGTCCAAGTGGCAAAAGATGCTAAACCAGCTATTTTCCTTCTCTCATAAGTGATGGTTCTTGGTACTTACAACATGTACTGTACCAGTTTTTTCGGAATATTTTGTACATACAAGGTCCAGTTACTATTTTACCATATAATTTGACATACCTTACGTCATCCTCCCTTTTGGTTCCAAATGTCCTTAACTGAAATTCCTCTCTGATTCTGATCTCATCAAGAAGCTGGAAATACAAGGGATACCTTTCCCAATCCCCTTTCACTATACACCCAGGTTCACCAACATGCAAGCAATCATTGAATGCGCATTTAGCCGGTTCATTGTCAATAAGCATTTGCCTTATCTGTAATAAACACCATCAAAATAGAAACTAGGTGTTAACACATCGACAATTCAGTGAACAGAAACCAAGTAAACCACCTAACATAAACAATCAAAAGGCAACAAAAAACTCAAACCTCGGGAAAATACTGTGCAAGAGATTGCTTTGTTACTTTCAACAAACTAGGCTGGCTAAACCCAGGAGTATCAGCCAGATAACCTCCCTCACCAAGTGGAAGCAAAGAAACATTTCGTGTAGTGTGCTTCCCTCTACCACTTCTAGTCGAAACTTCCCCGACACGCTGATCTTCGAACCACTTGCTACCCATTATCTAGTAAAACCACAAGAACAAAATGCAATCATCAAACACACACACACACACACACACACACACACACACACACACACACAAGATTCACGCACAAACAAGACAAACGAATTCCTCTGAAAGATCAAACAAACCTACAGGGTCAAACCAATTATCTGCTTCACCATGAGAATTGGGTTTATTTCTCAAAACATTAATCAAGCTAGATTTCCCAACTCCACTTGGACCCACAATCACTGTCGTTTGATCTCTCAAAACAGAAGCCAAAGTATCAAGCCCCATTTTCGAATCAACACTACAAAAGAGCGGCTCATAACCCCAACTTCTCAACCTAATGTTCCAATCGCTCAACATCTGCACAAATCCCGAAAAAAGAAAAATCACAAACCATTAAAATCAACAACATAACAACTGTTTCCATCATTTCCAAACAAACCACAAAAATCAAATTCAATATTAACAAATAATATTAAACCAACGAAAATGATCGATAACAACACAACTTCTACCACATTCCACATTCCAAGAGAATCACACAAAATTCAGAATCAAAAGTATCAACAAAAACCAAACCAAATTCACTATCCACAATCCAATCAAACACCAACAGCATTCCAAAAACATTGAACAAACCAGAAATCATCAGATCACCAATGGCCAAAACAAATTCATAATCCACAGTTCAACTAAACCAACCACAAATCATCAACAACTCAACACCAAGTACATTTTGGAAAAATGACAAAATCAAAACCAAGAAAACCACCAATAACCAACCAGTGAAAAAAAAAAAAAAGAGACCATTAACAAACGCTAAAACCCACCTCTCGATCAACAAGTTCTACTTTGTTCAACGCAAGCGTTAACGGAATCCCAGTAGATTCAGCCTCAATCAAAAACCTAGTCAACACAAATGGTTCCAACCGTGGTTGCTCAAGCGAAAATAAAACCAGCAAATGATCCACATTCGCGACAGGAGGGTCTAAAATCTCCGAAGTCCGTTGAAAAACATTCTCAATCATTCCTCTTCTATCTACCCAATCAACTGACCCAACCACCACCTTATCACCAACCAAAACTCTCCGTTTTATCTTCTTCAACACCGCCCGAACCACGCATAGTAATTCAGTTCCAATTTTACTACTAGAGTCTTCTATCTTCTCAGTTCTAGAAGGTTCGGCGGTAACAATCACGCGCATGAAGTTCGCTTGCGAAGCGGCGACGGTGCCGATGGCTTGAGAATCGGAGAGGTTGGTAGGAGTGTGGTCAGGGGAGAGAATCGGAGAGAGAGTGGAGAAGTCTTTTTTGAAGTTAGGGTTTTCTTAGCTTTGAGGAGGTTTTTGCTTGGTTGTGGTTTTCTGGAGAGATTTGGTTGGCTTTGGTGGTGTTGGGATGCGGTGACAAGGAGATGGTGGTGGCGGAAGGTGGTTACGTGGCGGAGGAAGACGGGAGTGCGGTGGCGGAAGACGGAGAGTGAAGGGATTGGCATCGGTGGAGATAGTTACATGTGATTTTGGTGGAAATGAAGTTTGTTATTGATGTTGGGATTTTAGAAGGAAGGATTAGAAGGTGATTAAGCTGATAGTGACGATGATTAGTCTACTGAAGAGCGAAGAACAGTCCAGTAGCTGACTAGCTGGTGGGATTTGATGCGGTGGATCAAGGAATTGTATTGCAGTGCCTTGATCTGAAGTCAAGGTCCAAGGAGGTTAAGACACGTGGTGATCATGGCGTTTTTCAAAACGAATGCAGTTACGACAAGTGGCTTTAAGCCACTCGCTAATTCATTTGGCGTCTGTAACTTTCTATTCCTTCCCTTTCCTTCCTTTATAAGCAAACATTATCTTTAATTAATTAAAGTGGATAAAATGGAATTAAAAAATAAAAAAAATAATTAAATATTTTTTTCCAATGATAACGAATATTTTTCAATCAATTTACGAGATTAAATTCATTCTTTCAATAACTTATTTTCATTTATTTATTTATTTAAAGTACTAGATAAAGCTACACTAATAATCTCGATAATGTTTTTTAAGAATAACAAATATTCTACGAGCAATTTACATATACATAGTAATCAAAATTAAATTTATTAATTGTTTTAACGGTTTCAATAACATATTTTCACATCAGTTTGACACATTCAATAAAATAAATTTAATTATTTAAAAAATTGATTTAAACGAAAATAAGTTCTAATCATTCAAGTGAGTGTTCTTGAATTCAAATTTATATATATAAAAAAACTCTTTAGATAGTTGTATTTTTCTTATACATTCGATAAAATAACGAGAAATTAATTTGAATTTTGAACTTAGGATGCCTCGAGAATCCAAAATAAAAAAAAAATTAATTCTTATAGATATTAATATCAAGGCTGAAATCCAAAAAATTACATCCCTTAGAAAATTCCCCTAGCAAGTTTCATGTAGGTTTGTTAAAATCAAAATTAGGAGTTTTTTTGTTTTTATTATTATTATTATCCTCTCATTATAGAGCCTCCACCACCACAAGAACAAAAACTCCATAGAAAAGGTTATGGACTAACCAGGGAAGATATTTTCACACCACAAAAACATCTCAAAATGGCAATAATATTTCTCAAGTTTCTTCCTCTCTCATCCCCATTATCTACTTCACATAAATTCACGAGTTTCCTTTCACCTCTCCAACATCCACCATTAACCAACGTGTCTTCCCTTTCTGAGAATGTCCATTCTTTAGCCCCTTCAATGTCGCAGCACGGCGGCAGAAGCAAACATTCCAGTTCGTTTCGCATATCATATAGATATTACAACTTGGAAGAGGATGGGGAGGAGGAGGAGGAGGACTGTGGCTTTGAAGAAGCAGTTTCTCTTTTCAACAAGAGGGAATACTACAAGTGTCATGATGTTCTTGAAGCTCTGTGGGTTAAAGCAGAAGAGCCCAGTAGAACTCTTTACCATGGGATTCTTCAATGTGCTGTGGGATTCCATCACCTCTTCAACCAGGTTTGTTATCGTCTTGGGCAATGTTTTTTGTTTGCTTGCTTGGGTGTAAATTAATTAATGGTGGGATGTGTAGAATCATAAAGGAGCAATGATGGAGTTGGGAGAGGGACTCTGTAAGCTGAAGAGGATGGATTTTGAGAGTGGACCTTTTCGTCAGTTTGAGCAGGAGATTTCTGCGGCCCTTGATTTCGTTTATCAAACACAGATTGAGCTAGCTGCTTGTAAGTTTTTTTTCCCATCTTTTCTTTTCAATAAATATTCATTAAAAATACCTAATAAGTATTGAAATAGATAAAAATAAAAAATACATACCATTAATACGGATAATCCTATATTTGTTCTTCATTTATGACTGTTATTATTGCTATTAGTATAGTTGGAAAATTAATTAATATTGTAGGTGGAGATGATCTGTGTTTGGCAATGGATCAATCAGAGAGATCATACCAACTTCTTGGAGCCTATGCAGCTGGGCAGCATTTGTATAGGCTGCAAACTGACCCTAACGATGGTACATACGTAGTTTTCTGTCCTCAGAATTCTTATTCTGGTGAGCCACCAAAAGTAAAGCTTCCAGCCCTTAATGCTACAAAGGATCATCTTATAGCCTATGAATTTAATTAAGTGAGCTTATTCAGGCAATGATTTGTATACTTGTAAATAATCTATTGAATTGTACAGGAAAATTCAAACTCCAATTTATTTTTAACCATTTTACTTAATTCGCACTAAATTTATTAGGAGAAAATAAATTGAAAAGAATGAGTTGGAATTCAAAAAGTGAGTTCGATTGCATCCATTTTCTGACAGCTACATGCTGCTAGCTGTTAGAAATAGTTTCTCAAATCAGAAATAAGCAAGAAAAAGACAACAATGCAAAAACAGAGAACTTACTCTCTCCAGTTTACCAACAATTACTTGCATTACATTCAAACCAAGAAAAGAAACTAAGAAAGAAAAAGAAGGAAGGAATGGACCAAATTGGAGAACTACAAAAGTGGAATTGGTGGTCATCTTCCATGGAAATCGAAATGGTAAAATAACAATCAGAACTGCTCTCATTTAGCTCACCCGACAAAATTCAAATGAAGAGTTATTATCATCACAAGATGGCCATTGGCAGCAAGTTTCATGCTTGATCAAGTTTGATGGCCAGCTATCAATGTTCGGATGCCATGGATCCATTACCGTGTCTAAGCCGGAAAAAAAAGAAGCTGCAATGAATAACAATTTTAGCATCACAATAACGAGTATCCTTGCTATTAAACAATAACAGATGAAACATCCAGGAGAAGGAGAGTAAGATACCTTAGTCAACATGTGTTATTACCATCTAAGCTGCATTGGTGTTTTGTGGTTTGTTCTCCACTACCTGGCATCTCCGGTAGCGAAAGTAGACGAATTGAAGCAGTATCTAGTCAAGACATTAAAGTTCGACCGAGTATGGAAGACGATTGGGCTCATCTTAACGAGGTTGACAATCAAGTTGGGAAACAAATAAACCAAATGGAATTTCACATTCTTTCCTAAGAATTTAACAGCTATGAGCTAACAAGGATACGCAAGTGTCAAGCAACACACAACCTCCTGCATCCACCAGCCATGGTAAGTTTGCGCTGATCTTTGACCATGCCAAGCTATCGACTAGTATGCTATTGGGAAAGTAATAAATACCAAACCCACAAATAGAAAAGCAGAGATTTAGATAAATGTAATAGAATTCACTACATTTCCAGTATGAAAGGTGGCTCGAATCGACAAGACAGAAATTAAAGATGGTGGTGGGGTGGGAAAATTATATGCACCTTGCTACATATGTAATATTTCCAACCAAAGCAAATACGAACATTAGTGGATTAAGTCCCTGAATAGCATAAAAGAAATTTAATAGAAGTAAACATTTTGGGCAGGAGACACATGTTAGAGATATATATTGACCACATAATTATGCTGTGGAAATATATATCAATCTTTAAGAAAGAACGATAAAGCTAGAAAGGTCAATATGCTTTACCTCAACCTTTCCCCTCTTGATCTGCAAATATTGATAAATCACCAAAATATGATTCAGTTGTAGAAATTTAAAAAGCATTACTAGTTAAAATTAGATTAGATAAAGCAACGATACATCACAGACTGTGCAAATATGCCAGGAAAATGAAAAGGTGGAGGAATGTAGTATTTCCGCCATTGTTCTGCTAAATCTTACATATTATATCTACCATAGCCTGTGCAGTCTTCTTAAATGATAATAACCTTCGGGCATTAGATAGAAATATATATATATATGTACACACAGACACACACATTACCGAATACTGAAAATACAGGTATATTTTATTGGGAAGATCATCTCACATTAAGGCAAATTTGAGGAAGCCGTCCACCCATGTAAATAGCTGCCATCGACCAACCAAGGAACGTTCCAATTCCACTTTCATCAACATCATTTTCTTGTGACATTCTGCTGCTTACCTGAAATCCGATTAAGAAAGACAACACAAGGAAATACCAAAAGAAATTATAAGGCAAATTTACTTTAGAAAAAAGTTATCTATAATTAAGCAGCTTATGAAAGCCAGTGACCAACTCCAGAATTATGTTTAACCATCATAAATATATACTACCTCCTATCTCACATGTCATCCTAAATTTAATTGAATCATCTCTAATGCTCAACAGGCAGCAAGGTGGATGATCAACTAAAGAAAAAGTAGGGAAAAAGGGGAAGATTACATTGGAGTGATCTGTAACAGAAGGACAGGAAATCACCATTTTTCCACAAATATCGACAATTTAATTCACTATGATTTCTTGAATGAAACAAATCAATTCGGGATACCTGCAAAATCTTTCGTCCTACTTGAATTACAAATTCTTGATGTTTATTTTCAAAGACCCCATCAAGCCTCTTGTTTTCTGAATGGTAAAGATTAAGTGTTCCAAGGAATGTGACTGTAGATACCTGAAACAAAAAATTGCCCGTGATTATAGTAGAAAGGCATATTTAGCATAGAGTTTTTCACTAAACATGACTGCAAGATTGGCATATATCCTAACCACACATAGCATGGTTTTGGTGTTCAAACTCGGTGCCGATTGTGTGGCTACATTTCCACCAAGCAATGGCTCTTCAATTGAATTCTTCACTGAAAATGATGGAGGAGTCATTCTTCGTGTTAAAAAGGATCCTGCTGTGGGAGTATGGCTGCTTGAAAGAGATCTTGCTGACCTGAAAGAAAAATGATAAAAGAAAATTACCTTTGTGTCAGAACCATATTGTATATATATCAATTTCTATTTTGATAGCATGATAGCATAAAAGCAAAAAATGCAGAGAAGTATTGTCAACTTCAAATATGGAACCAACAAAGGCTACTGTATTTCAGATCAAAATGAGCTACAAGTTTTTTCATAGTGGAATGTTCCATCTGGAACTCATAATGAGGTATATAAATGCAAACAGAAGAGTTGACGAGAACCTAATAAGCACCAGCATAGACTGGTACAAGTTACAACAAAAAAAAAAAAAAAAGGTTTGGTGTTTCTTGTGTATCAGGAGATTGAGTTTCTGATGCAAATCTAATGAATATCAACAAATTCAAGAAGAGAAGTTTACACGTAGTATAGCTCTCGTTCAGGGGAACTTTTTTGAGAAAGGGTTGGAAAAGGAATCGGAGAACTCAATCCATTTGTTCCATCAGAAGCAGCAGACCCATTTCTCTGTTTATCAGCACTGTTGACTTGTGCACCAGCATCACTATTTCCATTTCTAATTCTTCCAGCCTCTTCAGTCTGACTAGAGATTGGGCCCTGGATTACATGAAAAGCATTAACAGTGTATTACATGTGCAAATTCTAAACAAGAACCTGAACAGCACATTAATTACAAATAGAAGTGCAAAGAATTATTAGCTATTTGCAGAAGTCAATAAACTATGTATCTGTCATCCAAATCTACCGACATAAATTTCCAATTGTCTTTAAGAAAAACCAAATTATTGTACATCTAACTCATACAAGCACACATGGTTAAAGAAAACGTTCTCATCATATGACAGTCACATTCATGTTTCAAAACATTTCATTATTGAACTAGTTCCCAGAATTTGTAAATTCTAGATTACATGCGACACAAACTTAAAATATTGAGTCTTTTTGCTCCAGGTCAAGCCTTGTCTCACAGTGGTTAACACAATTTTCTACCTCCAAAATCCACCTACAGGACAGTTTGTCTCCTCTTGACTCATTCCAAGAAATTTGATCTTTCGCACAATAAAATACGTACTTATAAGTTGAAAATTGTAACATAAGAACAAAATAAGTGCAGAAAACGATTCTTACCTTGAGGCGTCGTCTATTGCTTTTCAGTCGATGATAGATGTGACCATAGTAAATAGTTTGTGCTGTAAGAACTGTGCTAGTCATTGTATACAACTGCAAAACAACAAAGCCTTGTAAAGGAACTGTTCAAGGACAAGAGACAAACTAAATTAATAGACAGGTTGGCATGCAATATCAGAAAAGGTTACTCTTTAGCAGATATTCTTACCACTGCCATGTAGTATTGGGTTGGAAGCTGCAAAATCAAGCATAAAACTTCAGTTAAAACATCATTGAAATTCAATATGAACAGATATGCTATAACCATAGTACGTAGGTTTGTGCAGACATAAAACTCATGATTTTACAAACCAATACATCCTAGAAATTCAAACGAGAAAATGCAAGTGCAATCATTCAAAACACACCATTAATTTCATGGGATTATATAACAAATAACAGGTTATTAAGAATTTCAAAAAGGAAAGTGGACAATCAAAACAGAGATAAAAAAAAGAAAAAAAGAGAAGATCACTTACAGTAGCTGGTTCCAACATGCAGCCAGAAACATTGAAAAGATCCCTAAAAATAAAAGCATTACAAATTAACATAACATGCAAACATATTACCTAAAGGTAAAAAGACATAAAATTAACAAGAATCTAGTACTGGCACTAAAAAGAACAGATATCTCACCCAACAATCCATGTCAACAAGAAAGCAAGGGAAAGTCCTTCAGTAGATTTCTCCTTATAGTTAGTGATGATTTGAGGTATCTCAGCAACACCCCAACTCAAAACACTAATCATACCTAAAGTTAATGAAACCCCATCTTTCGTACTGCAAAGACAATACTTCATGTAGATTCTAGCCCATTGTGCACAATGCTGGGGGCACATTGGCATGTTGCTTTTGAAAAGTGCCATTACTTGTCACCCTTAATCTGCAACAAACCAAAGAGAAAAGAAGAGAGACGGAGAGAAAGATTAGAACCACCCTATTAATTTGTAAAGAGATTTGAATGGTATGCTTATAGAAAGAAGATCACGTTAGTATTTTTTAAAAAAGAATAATTTACTTGAAAAGGGAAAAAATAATCATATAATAATCAAAATGCTTATTTCGCATGAAGGGCATAAAATCAAAGCATAACAAGACAAATCAAAATAGAAACCTTAGCTGTATATATACCAACTACTATTTTCCAATAACACCACTTCACATTGTTCTAATTTCATCAAATATTCTTTCTGAAATCATTTCTCGAAAACTTTTTCAGTGGATCCCACTATTAGATCTTATAAATTAATTAATAGCTGAAAATATTTTTCTCGAAATAAAGTTAGTACAAAAACAAGAAAGAAACAAATATTAGGACAACCACTACAGACTATACACGATTGTTAAAGAAAGGAAAGGTTCGGTTCCAATACCGTATGACACAGCCATAATTACAAAACAAGAAAAATGGATGCATGAACGAAAAAGGAAAACAGCCCATATCAGAAGACAACAAGCAGAAAGTGACATGAAAAGGTAACCTAATCCTTATGGTATTAAAAAGAGAAAAAAGATACTAATCATCGAAATTCAATGCTAATGAGATCGACAAGAAAAAGGTAACAAATAGAAATTTTACATTGCCAACGCTAAGCAAAGAAAGCAACTAACATTCATAGTAGATATAAAATAATTTCCATGTTTAGAAAAATATAACTAAAACAAAAATGAATCCCTACTCCCGACATGAATGGGCTGTTTTTTATCCGGCTGAAAAAATGAACTTAAAAATATCTGAAAGTTGGTCCGAAAATACGCAACGTACCTTGCTGATACAGTCACAGTTATAGCTACGATAAAAACGGGGAGAGGTTAGGGAAATAGAGATTTTCAGGGGATTTTCTTTCTCCTTTTTCACTCTCTTTTGACTGACGGCCGCATAGAGGACGGCGGAGAGGGAGGGGGGAAGGTGGTTTCGAGAAAACTGATCGAAAGCGCAGAGAGAGCAGCAGCAGTAGAAAACTGTAGACGTGTAGTGTTGTGCTTGGAATGGCAGGAAAAAAAAAACAAAGAAGGTTTTTCAGGATTCCTATGGCTATTGTTGTCTGACACGTGGTTTCTTAACTGGCTACTACTAGTTTTTCTTTTTATCTTTTCCTTTCAAATTTTGGCTATTTTTTATATTTAATATTTAAATTAATACGATATTATTTTTTTCTCTTAATGAAAACTAAAACCGATAAATTCACCAATCAAATTATTATTTTTATTATTTTTAAAAAAATATTAATACACCCCTCTATTCATATTTATTATATAATATATATAAATAATTGAAAAAGGATATATTAGTAATTATCTTGAAAAAATATTGAAATTAATAATTTGATTGGTGAATTTAACAATCAATATTCTAATACTTAATGAGTCACGTATTAATAAATAAATTATTTTATTTTCGAGTCGAAAAATAAATTATTTAATTGTTATTGTTTTAAAAAAATAATTATTTAGTATCTATATTTTTGAATTGTTATAAATTAATTATTTTATTTTTTCAATTTATTTTGATATTTAAAAAATAAAAAATAAAAAAATTGACATGTTTTGAAATAGAATAATATTAAATTAATCATAATAAATATTGATTAAGAAATTAAATAATTAGTTTTTGAAACTAGAAAAATTAATTAGTTCATTTTAAAAAAAATAAAAGGACTAATTTGTAATTTACTCATCATAAATATACCATCATTAGACCTATGTCGCAAGTTGTCATAATTTGTTATAAATTTTTGGATGAAATAATCATTTTTATTTTATTTTAATAGAAAATAATTTGATTTTGAGCTGCACAACGTCTAGAAAAAAATTAATCTTAACGTAAATGAAAACTGATATGAAAACATCTTTATTATTAAAAATAATAATAATAATAATAATCTTTCCTAAATTCCAATCTTTTTGCTTTTGTTGGTGCCTTCTGCGGCCTAATTCCATCCCAGGCCTGCAAAGCCATTGAGAAGACCTTTGACATGAGTGGGCCTCCATGTGGGCAAGATGGGCCCTGGTCCAGACATGGTCAATGACTGAAAAACCTTTTATTATTTCATAAGGCTAAAAAGATAAAACCTTCTCTAAACTTTAATCTATTTAAAATCAGTCCTTAAACTCTTAGTTTGTATTTTAAACTCTCTGAATTTTTATTTTTTTTTGAGATTTAATCCATCGTATGGTTTTTTTTTTTTTTTCATTTATCTCAAAAATGAAAAGTTACATAAATAATTTTATAATAAAAATCATTCAATAAAATTTATCCATAACTTTCCAAAAATTTTAAAATCATTCATATTATTTTTTATTTTTCTTGATTTTTTTATATTTTTAATGTTAAAAACTAAATAAATATAATTCCTAAACTTGAAAATTCTGAAATATTTTCTACAAAATAGAATGAATTTTTCCCAACAGGTGTGCAAAACTTTATATCAAGATATCAAGGATTAAATTTTTCAAAAGAGAGGGATAACTAAAAAAACATAAAATTTACTAAATCTAAAAAAAAGTTAAAAATAAAATAAAATAAAAAACACCAATTAAAAATTCAAAAACTAATTTTCAAATGAATTAAATTTCAGAAAAGTTTCGGCTTTTTTATTCTGGATAATATTCAGTCAAAAAAAATCATAACTGTGTAGTCTGAACCTTTGTACAGCAATTCATTGTCCAATTCTGAAACATCCAACCTAAAACGTTGCAGAAATATGCATGCTGATGCTAACTTGTTCCAATATTTTCTCAATACCCACTTGCAGAAAACCAAAATGCTGTCGTGACATCTTCTCTTTTAAGAAAGGATTATCTCAAAAGCACTTTGCCTGTAAGTCGTTTTGTGTGCTTAATGGAAACTTGAATCAGTGGTTGAGGTTAATGATAATCTGGCAAAATGAGAAGGTAGAAAAGGCTGGATATGCACTGCAATTCATTTCTTTTTGTTGGGAAAAAGGTGCGAGGAATGCATATACAACAGATAAAAAAACACAAGATTGGTTCCAATACCGATAAGGAAACAAGAAAATAACAAGTGCTGCTTCAAATCCACTCACCAAGATTGCACCAGCCAACCTTCAGGTGCATTGATTTGAATGTTCCACTTCTTCATGACATAGAGAGCTAGAACCATGGTTCCGAAATTCGGACTAGAAGTTCAAACACAAAAGGAATGCCAAGGACATGATTTATCAACGATTTGGATTAAGGAACGAATTTGAGGAGTAACTTATGGGAACTGTTTTCAAGACAAATATAAAATTTGGCAATCAGAAGAACAAATTTATTGGTGAAAAAAACTGTAATATGGCCTAAGCCGACAATGAGCGCAAGAGAGAAGATAGAACAGGATGAGGAAATGCATAAGCAGTATTTTCTTTTCTTTTACCTTAAGTCTACTCTTGTGTGATGATAACTGGTGCCTGTTAGCTAAGTTCAATTGCTGTAAACAAAGACAATAGTTTACAATGACCATATAAGAGTACTCCATTAGTCTCGTGATACAAATCTTTAGACAACATGCTTCAAAAAGCAATACATGTCACCTTGAGTGGCATAGTCTGGCAAAGGATGGGCAAGGTTAAGCGTGAAAGAGAATACATGACGGTCCTGCCAGTTGCACTACTCTGTGTTACCTGTTTCCATTGTTTGAACCTGTGGAGCTGTGACCACCACCAGTTTAAGATCAGGGGAGTTGGCATCACCAGACCTTTCACGAATCTCCCTGTACTCTTGGCAATTAGCACACAGATGGCAGAAAAAGTGGGTGACAAAGTCACCACATGGGGCTTCCTGCACAAGAAGAAATCAACAGAAATTGCACAATTAGCTTCATTCAGGAACAGCTTTCCATTTTTCTATTCGGAACTTCAAGCTGTAAAAAGCAGCTATAAATAGCTCTTAGTATGCGATATATGAGCAAAAACTTGAGGCAAAGTAGCTTTGAAAATTGAACACCTTGATTTATCTCTGTGCTCTAAGCACCAGCAATCTTTTTTCAACTACTTGTTGAACTTCTACTTGGGAAATCCATCAGACATATTGTTAATCCCATATCTTATACTACCAAAGCTATAAAATCTATTGATGTCCTACACTAACACCTCAAGCATATACATAAAAGGAACATTTGCAGCATATTAACTAGCATGCAAACAAACAACCTCCAAGTCACTAAGGCAAATAAATGGAAGATTTTATTGAGAAGATTATAACTTGGAACTAGTCATACCTGTAAATTATACCTTTCCCTCAGTACCCTGCGGTATCCGCAAGCATAACATGCAACAAAGCATCCAGGTAACCCCAACAAAAGGCCATCAGTCATACAGCAGCAGACAGTGTTGACAAGAGCCCACAAAATAAAATGGATTGTGCATGATCCCATGAAAGTTCCAGAACCCAAAAATTCCGCATTCTTACCAAACAAATAGCAAGGACAAAAAAGACCAATACAACCTGTGCACACCAAAAACAGCATTGTATTAACAATTTTCACTTTAGGCAACAATATATTTATGTTGTCAAATAAGTTCCTAGCAAAAAGAACTTAAGATTCATTCCATATAGATCTATGTGCATGTGCGTGCAAGTGTTTCAAAAAGGTGGGATATTAATTTCCTAAAATCTAGATCAAATCAATCATGCGTTTTATATCTTACAAACGCACCATGAGAGAAACGTCTAGCAATGGATACATCCATATCATACCATAGACCAACACTAACCACTCCTCACTGTTTCTCCTTAAGCTAGATTTCATGATTCACAAAAAAGCCCCAGGTTCACTAGAAATGATCTTCGTACCCAAATAAGCGACATCCTAGATTATTGCTAGAACCAAGCATAAACAGAGGAATACCAAAAATGCATTACAACTTTTCAGATGCTGAATTTATTCACTTTTTATTAAAAAACTAATGGACATTGGCCATGGCAATTTATAGCTCAATTGATCCAGCACATCATCTACCAATACTGACTTCCCTCCATTTAGCAGTTTATGACCAATAGAAACATTTGTCAAACTCCAGAGGAGCTTAAAAACATCGGTAATGGAAGACTTAATAAGACATTTAATACATTTACATAAGTGATATAATAGCATTAATATAAATACTAAAGTCAAGTTTCAAGCTTCCTGTTCTACATGTTGCAAAAAGAAAATCCCTTTCCTAAAATGGCATGATCCAAAACCTTTACTTAAACCCATTTGTAGAGCTAAATAATGATGGAAAGAGAAGAGAAAGGACAAAATCTAACATTTTTATTTCAACTAATTAGGCACCTTCATATTAATTTTCCTTCTGATGATAAAACAAGGTCACAAGGCAGAAAAAGTAAGCATACAGCTCTGCATGTCATCGCAACAAGCACAGATTCCAGACGACCACTGCACCGGCCCATCACCCGCACCACTAGTCACAGAATGTTCTTCGTTTTGTGGAACAGTCTCTGGTTCCAAATCTGATTGGTCCAACGGGATATATCGCGGTGGAACATATTTGCTTTCACTCTTCATCTTTTCATATAAGAAAATCAACCTCTATCTCAATCAATACTTATACGATCCAACAATACCCTGCTAAAAACACCAACAGATACATAATCAAATCAACAAGAAATTATTCAACACTTCTCATAAGCGGGGCCCAACATTCAACATACAGCTCTGTATACACTCACAATATTGAACAATTACTGACTGAAAACAACAAGCCCCCGTCAAATGTTCCGAAATACGATTGCCAGACATATTTATTAGATGAGCTTAAAAACTACACCTAACACCTTGAAATTTAAATCTACATGAAGCATCAAAATCTAGTATAGTGAAAATTCTTTGGATCATGGTTGTTTGCGACATAACATAATTAATTTTAACTAATAGTTTAACAACTACATAATTATGTTTGTTACATGGATTTATTTTCCAATTCGAAATATTTTCGTTGGAATTTATAATTAAAAGCAATCATTGATTTAAACACAAAAAAGAAAAAAAAAGAAAAGCAAAATACTCAAAATAATGGAATTTAATTGCATTACCAGATATTGTAATAACAGGAAAGAAGAAAAAAACATAATAAATCTTACAGATACGAGGTTTCGGCCGTTGTTGAAGTAGTAAACGATGATGTTTTTATCTATCTCCCTGTGTGTATCTTCCTTGCCGAGAATTCCGAGGAGAAATGAAACCTTTCTCTCTGCTTTGATCGTTGGTCAGAAAAGATAGTGGTTGAGAAGATGTAAATGGGCCACGATGGGCTTGCTTCTTCTTTAAAATGTGTGATATGGGCCGAGAACTGATAAGCTTTAAGGCTTAAACTCCGTTCAATGAGAGTGGGAGAAATCTAGTGAATTGGGCCAAAAAATGACCTATTCATTTCTTTCCACGGATGAGTAAATTATAAATTAGTCCCTATAATTTAGATAAACGAAATTATTGGTCCCCTTTATTTAAAATTTAGTCTTTATATTTTAAAATTTTCTTGTAACTTGATTATTTTCATTTATTTTCAACTTATTTTTATTTTTTGTGATAAAAATAAAGATATAAAAAGATTGATGAAACAAAATGGTCTTTTTTAAAATAAAGTAATATTAAATTAAACATGATCAATACTAATAAAAAAACTAAATAATTAATTTTTAAAATAAGAGAAAATAATTCATTTAATTTTCAAACATAGAGAAAATAAGTTATAATTTACTCATACATGGATAAATCACGATAACTATTTATGAATTCTATTTTAATAGGAATTAATGAGAGTGAAGGAACTACACATCGAGAATCTATATATATATATATATATATATTTCGATTTTTACACCTCTCTATCCTCAGTTTTGAATAATAATATTTTTTTCTTAGAAAAACCTAAAAAAATGTTCCTGAATTATAGGTTAGTGTCACTTTTTTCCCAATTTAATTTTTATGTTATTTTTGTTCTTTGGGAATTTTGATTTCTTGATTAGGGTCTTCTGTTAGAATTTCTTAATTCAAAACGTTAAATATTCACTATAAAAATATATCATTTCTTTAAAATAAAATAATTATGGTGGGACTTATGATTAGATATGGATGAAATGACTTAATTGAAATTTTTTAAAACTTGATGAACAAAATTGATACAAAAATTAGACGTTATTTGTCCTTTTGTTTTAACTATATAATATAAAATTATTATATTTTATAACTCTAGATAATTTGTCTGAAAACTAACAGACATTTAGTTCAATGACAACGGTCTCTTCATATCTATGAAGAGATTATGGCCTTAATTCTTTATATTTGCTTCAAATTGGATTTATGTACATTTTATGTAATCATTGTGAGTATAGTTTTTATCCTTTTAAATACATAAATTGACCAACATATTGTTGGTTAAGTGTTAAACGAGCTGATTTTTGGATGAATTTTTTATTAATGTGCAAGGTTGAAATTTAAAGTCATATTTATTGAAAATGATTAAATTTTATTTCTTTCGTTCCGAATAGGATTAGTCCTATTTCTAACGTAGAATAAGATTACGAGAGAAAATAAATTCATAAATCGAAATAGCAGAATAGAAGATCAACAAATTGTGATACATTTTAGCCAAGTATTCTTTCTCATGTGAAAGTTACGCATCATCAAAGCATATGCTAGAGAGATGGTTGTAAACGCACCAAATTCCTATTAGATTGCCAAATGCACTACCAATTTGTTTTGCCAAAACAGAAATGCAAAAATGCTTTGCTTTGCTGGTATTCCATTCTTCTTTTTCTGATAAAAAAAAATATTATTCCCTTCTCCAAATCTACAGTTCAACTTGATTGGTCCAGCACCAAAACAAGAATAAGTATATATGGAATTCATGTCAAATCAATCAAAGCAAACCCAAGTCTTGGCCTTGAGCACAAACAAAGTAAAGAAAAATACATTTTCCTTCGGTTTTTTTTCCGCTCCTCCTCCCTTAATACATATGCATCACCGCATGTGGTTATAGTACTAGTGGGGGCATATACTTCCTTTTCACTATATTTGTATAGAAATGGGGAAAGGATGGGCAAATTCTTTATTGGCTTTTCATATGGGAGATACGATTAATCATGTTCGGAATAAGAGTGGTAAGGTTTAATTTTTTCTAACAAATACAATTTTAGAATTTAATTTTTATATATCGATTGAAAATTCACATAAAAACTAGTTCGTTTATCATTAGATCAACAACTTATTAACGAACGATGGACAAATTCTTTGTTGGATAAGTTAACGTTGAAAGTACATGTAAAGAAAGGATATATTTGCAAACTTTTTTTCAGTTCTCAGGTTCTGAAATTTTGTGCTGACGTGAGGATTTTTGCGAAAAAGATGATGCAAGCAGAGAACTTATTCGGATGGATTGATGGACAACAATTTCAAAATCCATAAAAATAAAAAACTCATTGAGCATTCAGAGTGGACCAATGAAAAGGACAGCAAAAATAGTAAGCTTAAGATACACCAAAAATTTGGCAATTTAGGCTAATTTAGGCTTTGTACCAAGAAAATGATCAAACATTCTGTCCCAAATCATTTTCTCGAAAGAATGGAATCAAACTTGAGTTCCATCTTCCCTTGTAGGCTGTAAATTATAGGAAAGAGTAACTATCCAATTCTAAGAAAAAATAAAATTATAGAATCAAATGCCTCTAAACTATACTATTTAACCACTAAATAAAATCTAATAATCAAAACAAAAAAAGTTTGTAATTCGATGGTAATAGTCTCTTATAATAAAATATTACAGGTTTAAATCCTAACAGATTAATTTTACTAGAAACATTAAATATATGAGTTAAAAAAATTTTAATAATCGAATAGATTATCACCATTTATTTATGCAATAATCTACACCGATAATGAGTAATTAATACTCTAAAAAAAGTCTCGAGTTCAAATTTGTATTTTATTTATTTATTTATTATTATTATTTTACAGAGAAAGAGAAATTGAAAAGGAATTACCTGCCAACTTGTGTTTGTGGCAAGTCATATAACATTAGAAGAATGACATCTGCCTACACGAATACCAAGTGGGCTTTTTCCTTATAAAAGAAAAGGGACGATTAACATATGAATGAAGAGAGGGAGAATAGATGAAGAAACATTCTCAATTTCTTTGGAGCTTCAAATGCCAATCATGTTTCAATGGCGTTTTAGGAGGTCAAAATTATCAAATGCTTTGTCTGTGAGTACTACTGCGCTTATAATTTCAAATATCTTCGAAAACATTTCATCCATATTGATTGATATGGCTTTATACATATTTCATTTCCTTGTTTCTTGTTTCCTAGTATTTCCATTTTGTTTGATAGATTGTGGAGCTGTTGGTGCATATGGATTGTGAAGGATGTAAGAAGAGAATAAGAAGAGCAATCTCAAAAATAGATGGCAAGAGTTTGTTTCTTTTTTCATCTTGTTTGGTATTTGCATTTTGAAGGATTTCATGGAAAAAAAATATCTCCTCTTATTTATTTATTGAATTTGCTTCTTCATTTGAGATTTGACAGTCGAAAAAATCGAATTTGCTAAGCAAGTTTGCATCTTGGGTCAAAAGTTACTGTGAAAAATTAATAAATTTCTCATAAATACTTCAATTGGCCATGAATAGCTTATATATCAAGTATGCATGTATGTATGGATACGTATATACATTATTGAATGTTGTAGGTAAAGTGATAAGAAAAATATATTTTACTTATTACGTCAAATGTTCGATTTTTATTCTTGAGAAGCTCATCTCTTTTCTTCATGTAGCATTGGACATGAACTTTAGGTAGTTTTAAAAAACTCAGCTCTTATAATTTATTAAAAATTAGGTGTCATCTAGTGTTGACCTAACTTGAAAAGTAATAAAACTAACATTGGACTTCCAACAAGAGATTAAAGGTTCAAATCTCACTTCTTACGTTTTTTTATTGTCACTACAAAGTTTATGTATGCTTCTTCGATTTTAAGAATCTAAAAAATTTAGAACTTTCAATTTTAAAATTGAAAAGTAATCCGTACTTATTGAATGTAGTTGAAAAGTGATGAATTTCCGAATTATAAAAAAAAAAAAAAAAACTAATCATATATATACATATATCTATATATATATATACTCAAAAACAAAAATATGGCAAGGATTGGAACCTAAGATAGATTACCAGTCAACCTCAATCTCTCACCATTGGGCAACCCAAATTGGCTGGCGTCTTATTTTTTTGTGCTAAACTCTCCTCCTTAGGCTTCTCTCCATTCTCAGTGTGACCCCTTTCTCATCTCATGGAAATTTTTTTTGTGATAATTAAGAATGCATGACTCTTAGTTCAGTTTTATATGAATAGAAGTAAAGCATGCTAGAATTTTGAGTACTTAAGTTTGAATACGAATCGCCAATACTCTTTCTTTATTTCTTTTTGGCATCTTGCAGGTGTTGATAGCTTGGAAATAGACATGGACAAACAGAAGGTGACTGTGACAGGATATATTGATCAGAGAAAAGTCCTGAAGGTTGTGAGAAGAACAGGAAGAAAAGCTGAGTTTTGGCCATTTCCATACGACAGTGAATACTATCCTTATGCATCCCAGTATTTGGATGAAACTACACACACATCTTCATATAATTATTACAGACATGGGTTCAATGAAAGTGTTCATGGATACTTCCCAGACCAAGCTTACACCACCATCCCTGACGATACAGTCCATCTTTTCAGTGACGACAATGTTCATGCATATTGTAGTATTATGTAATAACGTATTGTGTCTTAATCACTTGCCCTAATCAAGCCCTCCTAGATGTGATATATATATATATATATGAGCTTTTTTTAATCAAATAATTAACTCTTAGAAATGTTTAAAATTATTGAGAGAGTTTTGAATTGATCATTCAAATTTGAATCTTGAAGACCCAACTTTGCTTTTTTTTTGTTTTTGTTTTTTTTTTGGGTTTTATTTGAAGCTTTGTTTTTAGTTTTTATCAATAAGTTGATTTTGTATAGAGAGATTAAATACATTTTTTTCGGTTCGGTCTAGATGACAAATTTTTTTATGATTATAATTTTTTTTTGTTAATTGGAATCTCTTCATCAATTGAAACTTAATTACTCTATTGTTATTCTTGATCATTAAGTTGATTTGTATATTGAGATTAAATATATCTTTTCTGTTCAGTGTCGATAACAAAGTTCTTTTATAATTATAAATTATTTTTTCAATTAGAATTTTTTTTATTTAATCAGTTGAATTTAATTACTCCGTAGTTATTCTTGATCATTGAGTTGATTTCGTATATCGAGACTAAATATAACTTTTGGGTTCGATGTAGATAACAAAATTCTTTTATGATTATAAACTGAATTTTTTAATTGAAATCTTTTTTATTTGATCAATTGAACTTAATTATTTTTGTTGTTATTCTTGATCATTTAGTTAATTTTGTATATCGAGACTAAATGCATTTTTTGGTTCCGTCTAGATAACAAAGATTTTTTATAATTATAAGTTGAAATTTTTTTAATTGGTATCTCTTCTGTTTGATCATTTGAACTTAATTACTAAAGTGCTAATTACTTTGTTGATTTATTCATTTATTTTTGTTTATGTATTGATTTAATTTTTTGGCAACTCGATTACAAATAGCATGGGCTCTAGCCCAACCAAGTGGGCTCGATCCAATACTTTGGTGTTCGGCCTACGTGAGTAAATGAGTTTCTGCTTGCAGGGGATTCTTGCCATTTAACACAGCACGCTAATTACCATAAAGCATTGAAAGTGAAAGTAGAAATACACAGTAAACATCTTCCACTAATAAATAGAGCATACTGGTCAGCTTTTCAGTTAAAACACTTAAAAATCAAGATAAAAATAAAATTTTTGTCTAATTTTATAATTTTTAATTAAAATTTTGTATTTAATTTATTCTGTATATTCATCATAAATTTAATTTGTAGTAAAAAAAAAAAACACAATACTTTTTGTTTAAAATTTTATAATTAATTTATTTTTTATATTTTTTTAAAAATAATCAATAATATCAGTATAAAAAAATTTATTTGAATTGTTATGTGGTTCTTTTAAAATATCATTTTTTAAATATTTTATTTGAAAGAAATTAATTTTAGAATATTAAAAAATAATGACAAATGGTTGACGTTATGTGTGTATATGTATAGTTAATTTCTAATAAAACCAATGATCTTATTTTTTTATATATATACATCATGACTATACTTGATGGATCCAAGTATGCAATGTAAATAAAATTAAATTAAATAAAAAGTTAAATTATAAGGAATATATTAAAGTTAATAGACTGCAATAAAAATAATTATAAAAAATGATTCTAATAAATTTTGATTATATAAACAATAAGCAAATAAAACACGTAAATTTTATTTTTAATTGATTGTTTAAAAAAATTATTCAAAAATCCTTACATAGATAAAAATAATTTATATTTATTAACAAATAAAATTATATAAAAAAGAATAAAAAATTAATTTGATGAGAAATTTCATAAGAAATGACAAATTGAAAAGATAAATTTTAAATAATAAAAGTATTGTAATATGATAATTATGTACATAGATTTCTTAATATAACGTGTCAAAACTTTAAACATGAAAAGGGCTACATGAATTTAAAGGGTCATTGATTATACAGTTATAAAATTTTATCATTTATAATAAAAGATTTTAAGTTAGTGCATTTTGCACTAACTAATCCAAAGTTTTTTTAGTCAATGGACATCTAATTATGGCCGGAAAACCATTCCAATTTAATAAATTTTGAATTTGAATCTTTACCCACTTCAAACCAAAAGAGTTTCATGTAGTAGATGAACAATAAAAATTTAGCAACGTATTAACAACTTGATTTAATAAAGTCTACATGCAAACCTTACCTAATTTCAACCAAATTTACAACAAAGGAAAGGAAAGTTGGATATAACTAAAAATAGTACAATGATTAAAACGAAAATTTCTATAATTAATTTAAAAAATTTCTTAACCTACTATGCTATGTAGTACATGGGATATCAAGCTTCTTTAAATTCTTTGTTTCTTTTGAAGTTCTGGAGAAGAAACTTCCTATCAAATTATGAATAAACAAAAATATTAGCAAATGATTTAATTAAGTAAGTACAATATTCTAACGTCTACATAATAAAATTCCATAATTTTCTACAATGTTGATAACATTATCAACCTTGGTATGGTTGTCAAAAAATAAAAATGCAATTGCCTGCTATAAGGTACATAACCTAAAGTCAGTAATCACTCAAAATAATCAAGCCACTCATTGACTCCCTATCACCAAAGGCAACAATGATTTAGAAAAAAATGCTTAAGTAACCTATAAATTCATGTTAACCATGAACTCAATAAGAAAAAAAAAAAAAAAAAAGGAAAAAGGCTAATAGCTCACCTTTATCAGCCAAATCCTTACATAATTGTTGCTCTCCATCCTATGTCAATAGTCTAAGAATAGATATAAGAAATGTAGGTTAGGAAAAGGAAAAAAAAAAACAAGAAATTCCATGATCAAATACCGAATAAAAATATAATCACCAACAATCTATAAAATTTTAAAGTCATTAATCAAACTATTGCATAAAGCAAGCATGCGAATCAAGACCAACAAAGACTTAGGTCATAAGAAACGTTTGTGCACTATCTCTAACTAATTCATAAGTCATGTTCTCAATAATTAACACACCATCAAGAGAAGTAAATAAACTGTTTCTAGTAAAATGACATCTTTTGATGTGCTTAAGCCCCTTCGAAACAAAAGGTGACTCTCGGCACATAATTTTTATTTTTTATCATAATATTGTGTGAGACGAAACCCTAATAACTTTGAGAGGAAACCCTAATAGTCTTGAAAAGAAATGTGATCTAGTCTTTAAACATTACAACTCGTAATTAACACTTCGACAAGATGTGACTCTCTATTCCATAATTGTTCTAGTGATCTAGATGTTCATGTGGATATTTATAGAGATACAGCTTGTTGATCCGTGCATGTGATTCATGCATCATTCACATAAGAGATGTGATCTCGTGCTAGAAGAGGTAATGATCCGATCTTTTGACTTTGCTGTTTTTGTGTGAATTATGTGACGTTTCGAAGTAATTTTTTTTTAATGATATTATTTCCAATGCATTGATTTCTTTTGATATTTCTTCGAATTCTAACATGAGAGATATTAAGTTTTTCATTATATAAGATGAATGGAAGGCCATGATTTTTAGGTTAAAAAACATAGGGCTGAGATGAGAGAAAAATACAAAGTAAAAAAAAAAAACCCAAGAATTCATCCTATTTCATTGTGTTTTATTAATTGTTAATGCTACAATTGAAGGAAAATGGAGAACAAAAGAAAGGGGAAAAATTAGCGTACCACAAAAAATGCTGAGCATTAAATGCTCTGGTGAAGAAACGAGTAAAGTTACAAAAAAGGGCACAAAATACAAAAAGAAAAACGAACAACTAGAGGACGAAAATGTAACACCACATCATCTACCCAAATGGCAAAAAAATAAAAACAAATAAAAAAATAGCACACCATATAGGGGGTGATGAGTCAACAATTTGTTAAGAACAAATGTGCAATGCAGAAGAAGGTAAAAAAACATTAAATATTTTCCTGTGAAAAGCACGCCATGGCTAGATCAAAAGACAAAGGGCAAAACACGTTAGATGCAAGAAAGGAACAATTGCTCAAATACATAGAAGATGCCAGTACAATGACTAAAATTGTATAGCCTTTGCTATGAGTATCCATAAACAGGTTAAATGAATGCACATCAAGGGATTAACTTATGATTTCCAAAAATAAAGGGACCAAATTAAAACTATTCAAAAAACAGTGACTAAAATTGTAAGTACTTCACATGAACAAAAAGATCTGTCCGAGGAAGAGGACGCAAGAATGCCACGACAATCTGCAACAATCACTCTCGGTCGTCCTCAATCCTCAACAATTTAAATACCTCTCAAAAATCCAAAACAAATTCAAAAATGGATCTCTACAAGGTATTAGGTATAAACAGAACCGCAACAAAAGATGAAATAAAAGAAGCATATAGAAGATTAGCATTAGAATTCCACCCGGACAAACACTCACAGTCATCAAATTCTGTAAGAGAAAGAGCCACCCTCAAATTCAAACAAATCTCTGAAGCTTACGAAATTCTTAGAAACGATAAGAAACGTGCCGATTACAACTTTCGGTCATCTTATTCTTCTTCTGATAATCACACAGGAAGGAATTATTATTATAATCGTAATTATAATCATGGGGGTTATGGATATTATAATAATTATGGTAAGAATGATTATGATTCGAGGTCTTATAGTTATAGAAATTTTGGGTGGAGCTCAAAATTGGAGAATTTGATCAAGTTCATGACCACGCGTGCGTTTCTTCTCAATGCAGCTTTTGGCTGGTATGCTTGTTTTGATGTTGTTTCTGTTTTTGGGAGTGATTTTTGTTTCTTTTGTGATTTTTTCTTTCTGGGTTTTTATTTTTTGTGCTTGTTATTAATTTTTTTGTTCAAAGTTAGGATCTTTTGATTGGCTGTGATGGTTATTGAACTGGGTTAGAAATTTTGATTTTAGGGTATACTTGGGTTTAATATCTTGTACATGGTGAATTATTTTGTGTATTATGCTTATTTGATGTTTCTGTTTCTCCACTTGCATGTAGAGGTTAAGGCAGTGTTTTTACTCTTTTTCGCAGTGCCTTGTTTGGTGGCTCAGTGGTGATGGATATGGGGAAGGAAGCATTGTGGAATATGCACAATTCAGGGGTATGTCATTGCTTCTATTTATGATGTTAATCATATTGGTATCTTTCCAGTTGCTGTTATTGATTTGGTCATGTAGAGAATTCAAGGCTGATCCCTCCCATTTCTTGCTACTTCCTTCATTGCCTTTCATATAGTAGCTTTGGCTTTGCTTGATGAGTTGGTATTCCATGTATTAACTGCTTTTAGTAGGCTGTTGCTAAGATTTCAATGTATTAACTGCTTTTAGTAGGCTGTTGCTAAGATTTCCATGTATTAACTGCTTTTAGTAGGCTGTTGCTAAGATTTATCTAGCGAATACCACAAAGTTTTCCTGCTAAAATGTGCAAAGAAATGGCCTTACTGATAAACAATCTACTTGTTGATTTGAACCGATGCTTCCAGAATAGTGTAATTCATCCTGTTTCTGTAGCAAGCAATATGCCTGGAATTCGGAAACCCTACCGGTGCAGGGGCCTGGTGCATCAAAGCTTCAAAATGCTGTTATCAATATGCATGCTATCTGTTAAATATATCAGTGGGAATGGCATTATTGATGTATTATGACAGAATAACTGAAGTACACAAAATTTCATGTTTGGTGTGAGACAGCAAAGTGCTCGTTTGCCTGTAATTATTACCCTGGATGAAAAATCCGTTAAATATATAGTTGATAAGAAGGCCAAAGAGGTCATAGAATCTTTTGAATATATCTGATGATGTAGAGCTGTTAAACATATATCTGATAGTGTTTAATTTTGCTTGCAGAAATCATTTGAAGATGCCATGGAATCCATTAAGAAATCCAAAGCACATAGAGATGAAGCATAAGATGACCATATTCTTTGATTTCTACTAACGAAACCAGAAACTTTTCTTGGATGACTAAAGAACTAAGTACTAGAGCATGGGTGTCAAGACTCGTCTTCAACCATAATATATCTCCAGACTTCAGTGAATGTCACATTATCTTCATCATTGAAAGATCCACAGGTCTTTTATTGGCAATTATTTTGTACAGGATATGAATCAAATACATCCCAGGGGATTTTGTAAATAACCCTTTACAGACCAGGTTTTGTAAACAGAGTTGGATTTGTGTGACTGAAACCCAGCCAGTCCATGATGTTATATATACTTGTAATAATCCTCATTGTTTTGGTTCTTCACCACAATTGTTGACAAGGGTATATTTAAATATTTGAAAGCCATAGATTTATCTATCATTTTGTGTTTTTTGCAATCAGCCAATTCCAAACTGCAAAATAGCGGTAGAACATCATTACTGTTTTACTGTTGAGCATAGTTTTAAATTGCAGTCGGTAGAAGATTTCTACCAATCGCTGACTTAAAAACCATTATGTATCAGTTGTTATATATCGTAAGAGATGTTATTAAAAACTATGTTGTTGAGGACAAAAGATCACACTTGCCTTTCCTATTAAACATTGCAATAATTTTGAGTAAAAAATGTACATGTCGCTTCGCACAAACCTGAGCACAAATCATAGAAATGGCTCAGGTAATTCATTAGTTAATCAAGATACACATTACATTAAATCAAAGCACCTTCAGCTGGCCTCTCTCAAATTTATTGAAGGATGGTACAACACTCCAAAAGTCTAGATTGTACAAGTGCTTAATGGGAGGCTCTTGTGGTGATTCATTCTGAAGCATAGATGATGCCCAATCATCAACCACTACGATAATCTTTCTCATTCGAGTTTTATTCCACGAGGTCTCATAGTACATCAAATCAACAATGGTTTACTGCTGCCAACCATACTGTTGGTTGCGATTTCCACCCATCATGTTTGAGCCACGACCAGCACCTGAACCACCATATGGTGGACCACCTTGAGGATAATTTGGACCACCAACTCCATATCCGCTACTCCCTCCACCCCCACGTGTAGGTGCACCAGACATACCACTTGAGCCATATGGTGGAGCCCGCCCCTGTGGAGGATATGGCCCACTCCCATAAGTTCCGCCACCTTGACCACCACGATTAGGGTGGTTGTATCCCCCACTCGTTCCACTGGGGGGATACCTGCCTGGTCCGCCAACAGGTCCTCGAGGCTTCCCATAATGATGGCTAGGCCCTGCGGCAACTGGGGGCTGAGAACCATGCATGGGCTGATTAGGGCCTGAACGCATTTGCGGATGTCCCTGCCCAGATTGTTGAATGGGTGGAAGCCGACTATGCTGCTGTGGGTGCTGCATTTTCTGACGCTTAGCATTTTCTTCATGTTGCCTTTGTTGCTGACGTTTTTTCTTAGTCTGAAACTCATGTGATGCATCATATTTCGGTAAACTGAATCACCAAATGAAACTTGTCAAGGATATATAAACCAAGGAATATCGATCTCACAGAATTAGAAATATAAAGTTACAGAAAGTATGAAGAAACCTTTTGGGGTCGCAAGGTAATGGATCAGTCCAGAAATACTCAGCATCCAGCGCATCCTTGGCAGATATTCTCTGTCATAATAATCAAAAAAGCAACTATTAAACAATACATGACAGCATAGATTAAGGATTAGGTATGGATCAAGGATAAAAATTTATATGCTGAAAATGAGCAATTGCTTGTTAAACAATGACAGAAGATTCTAGGGGCTAGTTTGTCCAACTTATGATTAAGTTTCTTAAATTGTTTGAATTTCGGTGACATGGATGTTTAGAATTTCATCTGAATAATTGATTTCTTTCATATTGGGTTTGAGAAGGGTCCATCTAAGTAGCATAGGTCAACTATCGAGGTGTAGCAAATTCTTCTATCAGTATTAACAAGTTAATAATGATGTTCATTGACAAACCCATTAGGCCTTAGGCTACACCATAAAGGCATTCTCCTCCATCCCCCCAAAACCAACTTGATCACAATAAAAATCATAGTTTTAAATATTGATCGCGATTGAAAAAACGATTGCGATGGTTATCGCGGTAGTAAAATAATGATCACAAGCAACCGATACCGTGAATACATAAGTAAATGTTAATAAAATTATTCCAATTCATATATTTTTAACAGTTTTAATAGTTAAATATAATAAAATAATGACATCTTTAATAGTTTAATATCATATAACAATAGTTGAATTTATTACAAAAAATATTAATAATACTTTTAATAGATTAATATCATATAAAAAATAATAAAATATATTATAATTTCAATATACACATTACAAGATATTCATCTCCAAAAAATCATCGTGGAGGATTATAATAATAGGATCAACTAATTTATTTTTTTTACTTTTTTTTTTAATTTCATGATAATTTCAATACACACTGCTAATACATTATTTTTTTACTTTTTTTTATTTTTAAAACAAAAGAAAAAAATTAAAAATAAAATAAAATTTGAAAAAAGATTAAATACTAAGTGTTAAAAACAAGAAATACCAACTAATTATTTTTTCAACATAATGGACTAAGTTATAATTTACCGAATTAAAGCCTGCATTTGCTTTGCAAGCAAATGAATTTGTGCATGCAACAGTCAAACTCAGGACAGATTGACATACAAAGTAGAATAATAAAAAGTAAATTATACATTAGTCCTTCTAGTTTCAATAAATGAATTAATTAGCCCTTAATGTTTTAAAAATTAATTATTTGAGCTTTTAACCAGTATTGATCATGTTTAATGTAATATATTTTATTGCACAAAATATTTTTTCATTAATCTTTTCATGGTATAAAATTTTTCTTCTAATTTAAAAAAAAAAAAATTAGAAAATAATATAAAATGAACAAAAATAACTAAATAATTGGTTTTTTGAAATAAAAAGAACTAACTAATTTATTTTTTCAAAATAAAAGGACTAGTTTATAATTTTTTTCACTCAAAGCTTCCGAATGCATTATTCTCTAAATGAATTGTGTGGGTTCTCTATCTCTAGCTGAATTTCAGTCAAGAAATGTTTTTTTTTTTTTTTAATTTGTGTAATGCCGTTATATAACAGCAAATGACAACGTTACATAACAGTAGCACCGTTATTTGCCGTTATCAATGTGAAACAAGTGTCAGAGCACCCGTAACGCCGAATAACAATAACGGAGTCCCCGTCACCATTATATAACGGCCGTTATGTTACATAATGACCGTTTTTTAAAACTATGGTAAGAACTGAGCCTGATATCTACAGGTTGAAGGTTTCAATTTCTAACTCCAAGGGTATCTTGAAGGGACAGTTAATAAGTTGCACAGCAACACACAATCAAGACATAAAATGCAAGTGTGGCAAGTTGAATATGTGGAATGCAAGTCAAAGAAATTAAATTCACAAGCTTAACTAGTTCAAAAAACGAAATTGATGTGTTCTACCAAAAGTGTACTTTAATTCTGGCTTGAAGGGGTAAACTTCACTAGGTCAGCGCATGACATCATGGTAATCTCTTGGCACTTGGCAGAGATAGAAGGCTTGGGGTCAACTTGATGATACTCAGGGGTCTCTCTGTTTTTGTCAGCTCAGTATTTGATATATGGGTTTCTTAGTTGGGTGCAACTATTATTTTAAAAAAAGGTTTGCTCAACTCAATCCAACAGGCTATTTTGGAAAAAAGGTTTAAAAAAGTAAATTAAGCACACTGCCCTAACATTACGGAATTTCAATCTATTGCACACTGCTGATGGTACAACTTTTAAAAAGAAATACACTCCAAACTGATTTCACATTATCAACCCAATTTTTTGACAAAGGAAAGAAAAAAGAAAGAAAGAAAAAGGAAAATAATCAGACACGAGTTATGACAATTAAACAGAACCCACAGGGTGAAGAAAACATATCCAATTAGAGGATACCTGAGAGGGATCAAGAGTCAGCATTTTCTCCAATAACTCCAAAGCATTACGGTCAAAACTATAACACAGAAACATAAAGCCAGAGAAAAAAGAAACAGAGAAAAAGTTAGAGATAGTTGTCATCAAACCCCACATTTATGTCAGAATGAGAAAACATTGTAGCATCTACAAATAGAATTTTGTACTTACTGTCTGAAAAACTCCCTTAGACGTCTCTTCATTGGCCTTGTTGGCTTAAAATTGTTGTACCAAGGAATCTTGGAAACTCCAGGCCAATTAACCTCATCAGGGGCTCCACATAGCTCAAAAATCTTATTTAGTTGTTCTGGCTACAATAATCACAGAGATACACTCAAGAAATTGGTTTTAAGGAAGCAAATTTTTTAATATGATGATCGACTAAATAGCAAACATAAGTCCATTGCTTTCATTAGATTATGCATTATCTTGATAGGGTTTATCAAAGAAGTTCCAAATTAGAGAACTGCCCAAACAAACATAACATATATTTTATTGCAAAAACCTATAAGTTATGGAAATCCCAATAAGCAAAGTCTTGAATAACTTTGATCTCAAGGAAAAACATGTTAAGAATTCAAATCAAAGGTGGCTTCAGAAAGTTGCATAAGCGTCCATATAGCAATGGGTCACCATACAATCATATAATTTCCCCATAAAATGCACAGCAACTATGGCCAGTATACCCCCCTTCTCCTTGTTTTGGATAGCTATTAAAGGGAAGAATCTACATATATACAACACGTGGAGGATGGGAAATCCGTCATAAATAGACAAAAATAAATAAATAAAGCTTTGAAATCTTGCAAAACATTACTATGTGGAACAAAACAATTAATGATGGAATACTTACCTCATCTTTTCCAGGGAAAATTGGTTTCCCGTGCAAAAGTTCAGCAAAAATACAACCAACGGACCACATATCAACAGCTGGACCATACTTTGTTGTCCCAAGTAGCAACTCCGGGGGTCTGTTCAAAATGAAAATAACTGGTTCTCATTCCAATCATCTTTCATCATATTCCCCTTGTTAAGGTAGAAAGCCACAGTTCCTAGTCTCAGTGTAAAAATAAATAAAACCAAAGCTCTCCATTTAAGGGGCTATAATTATTACCTGTACCATAAAGTAATAACGCGATTTGTAAGATTTGCATTGTGATCATTTGAGAATGATCGAGCAAGTCCAAAATCTGCCAGCTTCAAATTACCCTCATTGTCTATGAGCAGATTAGAACCTGCAGCATTGATGAAGTTCAGCTACCCAATGCCCCATGAGGTGGAAACAAGATCTAATGGTAAACTTCTTTATATTTTAAGAACCTTTAATATCACGATGAAGCACTTGATTCACATGACAATAGTGAAGCCCCGTCAAAAGTTGCCTCATGTAGCACTTCAAGAAAAAGGAGTGAGAACCGTATAGAAGAGGATAAACGAGGAGCCGTGGGAACAATGTCAACTATCATATGCTCATTGATTAGAAATAAAGATATTCCTTCATCTCTACTCCTAACAATACCTTAATTTGGGGAACTGAAAACCTCATCCCAGGACGATCAGCGAGACCAGTCAAATCATGATCCATGTATTCAAAAACCATGTAGATCCCACCTTTATACTTGTTACCATCTGCAATCCCACAGAACACACTGGTCATAAATCACTTACCTCCAAATATGACAACCATTAAAAGAAAACCCTTTTATAACCAACTACAATCAAAACACGTGCAAGCACACGCGCTCGCTCGTGCGCGCTCACATGCATGCATCAACGTCAATATGTTAAACAGAGATCAATTCAAAATTTGAAAGGCTAAAGTTACAAAATCAAAGTAGAGAACTTGCCTGGTCTTCCCTGCTCATCCCTCTCCGGACCTGAAAGAAACAATCCCAAACATTTCAGTTATCGAACACATAAACATACCTACACTATTTCTATTAATACAAAAGCACAATTGAATAAGAATTTTTTTAACTTTCTACCTGGAGAAGTCACAATCTCTTTCAAGTTAATCACATTCTCATGATGTAATTTCTTTAAAATCTTGATTTCCCTTATTGCTGTTATAGGAAACTACATAAAAACATCACCTTTATTTTATCAACCAAACGAATTAAAAAAAAAAAAAAAACAAAGTAACTTAAACAAGGGGGTAAAAAGAAAATGTTACCCCTTCTCTCTCATTGTCCATTCTTATTTTCTTCAAAGCAACAATTTCACCGGTCATTATTTCTCTCGCCATATAGACTTGCCTACATACAATGAAAACAAACCCAATTGTAAGCAACTTTTGATCTTTCCTTGACAGAAATTGAAAAGGAAAAAAAACCCATAATTGATCATATAAAAATATGCTAAAAAAAAAAAATTGGAAAGCTTAAAAGAACACACAGAGAGAAATCAGAGAAAAAACTGACTGACTGACCCATAAGTGCCTTCACCAATTTGTTCTAATTTTTCAAAACAATCAACACTCCTAGATCCCCATGATGGTGACTCGTTCAAATTCAGCTGCCCTGGTGCTGCTATTGCCATCCTTCTTCTTCTCCTCCTCTTTTTTTCCCACTGGCACTGCTACAGTTCCTCTTTCCTTGTGTTCTTGACAAATCAAGCCCACAAGCAAACTCAACTCAACGAACGACAATCCGTCGTCGCCGTCTCCAATGGTGGAGGTGGCGTTATTTGTCGGTGAGAGAAAGGAAGATTTGTTGAAGAAACAGAGAATCTACTCTCTTTTGGAATATATATTCCTTTTTTCTTTTTCTTTTTTTATTAGGAGAGGAAGGAAATAATAATACCTCCCAAAAAGGAAACACAGAAAGCATGGTTTGGTAATGGACCTAATTGAAAATTGTAGCCCACATACTTTAGCATATATTGCATTTTGAACCTTGTAGGTTGATAAATGTTCCACTTTGGGCTTACTATGCTCTATTCTTTTTCCACTATCAACTTTAGAGTTCCAAAAAACTTTCAATTTGATAGTTCCTACTTCTTTGTTGGTAAATTGGCAATGAAAATTAATGAAATGGTAATTTTTTCTGTCTTTTTACTTTCACATTCTCTTATACTTCTTTATTTTTTACCCTTTTGTATAATGTTAATTTTATGGATTTTCTCATGTTTAATGTAGTTCGGAGAAACTAGTCAAAGAAATTATTTTTCTTGTTAGAGGGAAAAAATATTATTCAAAATTATATAAAAAAAAAGGTTTTTATTTTTTGAAAATGACTCGAAAGAATACTAAAAAATATGGGTTCAATTGAAATATTTGTAAGACTACAGGGGTCAACCTGAACTTTACCCAGAGCAGTTTATTACCATGAGCTGTTTGCAAGAAAACAGTTAGGACTGAATGGATTTCTCGTCTTCTTCGCTTGAAGTCTGTGGCTCAACTAAAACACTGGTAAGTCTTAAATCCCAGAAAGTTAACCAGCAAATTTAGTTGTCTGGTACTGTTTTATAAGCTAAAGGTCATCTTTTTTTTCATGTGGTTTTTATCGGTGAACATTATTAAGTGTTTTTGAATTTACAGGTGGAAGACAAGGAGCTCAACTTAGCTCAACTTGAGGACATAGAAATGGTATGCTTTACTAGTTTATTAAGTATCTAATTACTATCAGATTTCTGGGATTTTGTTTGTTTTGATAATTGCATATGATTTGCAATTCATTTTACTTTTTACTTGCTTTATTGGGTTTTGTTATTTTAAGATTAGAGCTTAAATTGAAATGAAAAATTTGATAAACACAGGGAAATAGTCATTTTTGGTGATGTTTTTGTTGGCTGTAAGTTACTAGTAGTAATTTTTTTCCAAAAGTTCTGAACTTTGATGTAGTATTGTCATTTTGCAAGAGAATGAGGGACAATTGCAGAGTTTAATGTACGACATAGGAAAAGGAAATTAAGGAGTTGTTCAGACTTCAAATGAATGCTGGACAGTGGTTAATATGCTAATTTTTGAGACATGAATATTGAAAAAAAAATGAAAAAACCAAGTTTTTTTTTATGATGAACGGACTCATAAATTTGTGAGGAATCGGCTCATGCAACCATGAAATATAGTGTTGCAAAGTTAGATTCGTTGATGATGGACCATGGAAAAGTAGTGGCTTCACTCCGCATATACGCTAACTGATATTCTAATAAGCGAAAGTTGCTATTGGGAACAATGCAAAGAATATGTTTCTACTCTGCTGATTGTTACAGGATTCTGTTGTTAACAGAAAACTGAAGCAGTTGCTGGGAGATGTTCAATTGACAACGTCTATCGGAAATCTGGTGTCACTAAGCTGGAGAAACCAGGATCAGACAAGAAGGCTTGTGCTTGTGATACTTTAACAGAAGACAGAGAACATATCGAGGAAATAAAGGAGTTGCATGCATACCTTGACATGGTGAACTTTTTGCCTGCTGAAAATTAAAAATTCTTATTATATCCATTTGCACTCGACTACCATATACCGCATACACATTTAAGAACCAACAGATTATTTTTTATTGGACCAGTGCTGTCATTTAGATCCAATCAGCCGAGCTATTGAAATTTGAGTTCGATTATTGTTCCCATGTTTTTATTGTTTGTTCAATCTTTGGTTTGGCTGTGCATCTCTTCTCAGGTGAAAACGATGGTGAGACCAGGTTGCTCACCGGAAGTGCTGAAAATGGCTTTGAATTCCATGTCAACACTTTTCAACATCCTCACCTTTGCATCCTCAACGACTAGACCCCGTGCATCCCTTTGAGCCATTTTTTTTTATGGTTTGGCTGCACCATGCAGAAAAGAACAAAAATCTGTCGGTGTGCCTTGTAGTGTGTAGGTGGGAAAGTTTGGATTGTGTTGTGCCCTACCTGTTGTATGAAATCAATAGAGGTACGTCTAATATCGAACTACTTATTGTTTTCTTCCTGTTTGTGGTTATGTTTTATGAAACAACGACGACCACAGGCAAGCCTCAACCCCGAACTAGTTCGGGACCAGCTGGAAAGTCTTGTAAATAATGGCAGTGGAAAAGGCTGTAGGAATCCTGGATGCCTTGCTAATTGAATTTGCAGGTCATCTGTAAGTAATAAAATGAATGCTTTGGGTTTTTATGCTCCTTTTAATCTCGAATTACGAATTGTTATGCAATCAAACTTTCTTCATCAAATATCGGCATTGCATATTGTGCAACAGAAACATGCATTTCTCATGCTGTTTTGGCTTTTTAAGATTAGAAAGCAAATACTACTATTACTTTCTCTTATTCTCTGTTAACTTTTCTGGGATTCAAGACTTACCAGTGTTTCAGTTGAGCCACACACTTGATAATGCTGTTTTCGCTTTTTAAGATTAGAAAGCAAATTCTATTACTTTCTCTTGATTGAATTTTTCTTCGATAGGAAGATATATCAAATCGCATGGATATCTTTTTTTTTCAAGAGTAAATTATAATTATAATTTTTTTTTTAATTTTCATGTTATTCTTTTTTTAAAACCTCATTCTAAATGTAGGAAATGTGTCGTTTGCGAGATCTTATCACAATAAAACCATAAAGAATATTTTTAAAAAATTATTATAATAATTTAAAGGTAATAAAATACATACAAAACGAAATTCTTAATCAACATGTAATTAAAAAAAGGTTTAATCGTATCAAACGTCTCTTTACTTTTGATATTTTTTTAATGTGGCTTCTGCATTTGTTTTTAATTCAATCTCTCTCTATACTTTTTATTTTTTCTTAATATGGCCTCTCCGACTGTTTTCTAATCAATTTTTCAATCAAAACCAATAGTTGGCATAAAATAATTCACGTGACATGTCATGTCATATTTTTTTGTCACGTGAAAAATTAAAAAAAAAATTTATTCTATCTTTCTCATTTGTTTTGATTAACCCAACATTGAAACCCAAATGCTAGAATAGAACAAGCTTGGTAAAAAAAAAAAAACTCTATGTTTGTTAAATAAAAATAATGCTGACTAATAGCTAATTATCCATATCAAAAAAGAAAATGTGGTGCGATCTTTAATTATTTTTTTTTCCAAAGCAACCCTATTTTTCACTTTAAATTGGTCAAAAATTCAAAATTTCTAACTTTTTGTGGAAGATTAAACCCATTAATTAGTAGCCGGTGACTAATTGTTATGGCACATCGCTATATTTTTATTTTAATAATTATATGTTAAGTTTTTTTTACATATTATTTTTAACTTATTATCATATATATATATTATTTTTTTTCTGTTAGAATACAGCTAAACCATTTTTACTATTTTTTTTTTTTATAAAACTGTTTTTGACATTTATGGTAAAATAAAATTACATTTTTGTACTCGTTATTTTTTTTTCAAAAAAATGAAGTAAAAATAAATATTTCTCATCAACATATATATAATCAAATCACACCGTAAATTTTCAAAAATTAAAGCCTTGTATCTACACTAATCTATCAGCCAAAAATGGCACACAGGAAAACAGGGGAGAAGCAATGGTAATTGATAAAGCACTGATGACGCGAGAGATGATCTGCAATCCATCATGTGACATATTGTCTGATGATCTCATGCCATTCCTAACTTTTCCACCAAAAATTGTTAGTTAATGCTAGAGAAATCATTGTTAAGGGAAACTAATTAACCAAGCTGATAAAAAACTTATTGTCTTGTTCAAGAAAATTCAATCTCTTTGCAGATTTCTTTTTCATTGCATGCCATGCATTTAAATCCTTTACAGAATACAAATAATCTGATGGAATCACAAAAAAATGGCTCAAAATCAAAGTTTACATGAGAGGTGAAAGTTAAAACTACACAAAAGTTTTCTTCTTTCCTTCCAAATTTTTTTTTTTTTATTGAAACTCTTTAGTACTATTCATATATGATTTAATGGGTTAAAAATCTCTTCTAAATTTTAGTGTATTTAAAATTAAAATTTTAATTTCAGATTTGATCTCTTCTGACCTTTTTTTTTTTTAGGTTTAGTTCCTATTTAGTTTTTTTTGTTAAAAATAATGGTCATATAAATAGTTTCATGATGAAAATTATTCAAAAAGATTAATCTAGTACTCTCCAAAAAAATTTAAGATCATTTCGAGTTATTTTATATATTTTTTCAATTTTCTAAATTTTAAATGTTTAGAAAATAATAAAATACATATTTTTTTATCTTGAAAAATTTCTGAGATTTTTTTCAGAAAATGAACTGCATTTTCTCAACGTGTGTGTAATTAAACATTAACTCGACATTTCAAGAATTAAAATTTTTTTTTAAAGGAGAGTGATGGGTAGAAATCATAAAATAAACTAAATCTTAAAAAAAAAAAAACAGATGAGGTCCAATCCAAAAGTAGAAGTTCAGGCATTCAAATAAACTAAACTTCTGAAAGGTTTGGCCTATCTAACCGTCGTGTATGATTTGGAATTAGGTTGCATGAGATTGTGACCTTCGCAGGGCTGAAGCAATTTGAAACTAACACAAATTTTTTATTGCATCCCTTTTACAACATAGCAGAGACAATAACGTACATGCATGTTTCTGGTTATAGCTAGGTGCCGGACGACGCTGCAGCTCACAACGGGAAACTAACAATTAATTCCAGAAATCACCGTCAAAGGTGATTGATTCTTATCTGCATTATTCGTATATATATTTCCAGTAACATTACAGGTCTGCAAATTAAGCAGCATAAACCCTTCATCTAGGTGTTTCTTTTCCAAGACTGGCCTTACGCATGGCAACAAACCTTTCAGCCACTTTGCCTCTATCGGGCCAGCTTTGACGGACGACTGGAACATTTGCAAATTCCTGCTTCCATGCCGCTAAGGATGGAAATTTTTCCTCGTCTGCCAGTTTCAGACCTGCTGCCTCCTCAAAGATATCAAGGTAATAAGCAAGCCATCCTAATGCAAGGTCTGCTAGTCCAATTGTCTCCCCACCAAAGAATTTCTTTCCTCTTAACTCATCTTCTACATGTTGTAAGTTCTCCAAGAATTCAAGCACCCCTTTTTCTTGCTCTTTTCCTTCCTTCAAGAGCACTCCAAACCTAATTGATGGGTAGAGCTGCTGCAACCACAAGTTAAGGACCAAGATTAATCCAAGTTTGAAAATATTGCTTCAAATCTTGATAAGTTCTTAGAAGGGTTTTATTCATATTTAAATCTTGTATTTTTCATAATTTTTTTTTTTTTTGATTTGATTGAAACTTTTTATTTTTTAAAATTTCTTGCTTTAGACCTTTCGTTATGACGTCATTAGTTAATAATCAACATATTATCTTTATTTTTTGAGATTTTTTATTTTGTAATGTTACGTGAGGATGATTATAACATAAAGTTTGAAACAAAAAGTCTCAAAAAAATAAAAAATCTCGATCAACTAATAAATAAATAAATAATTCAAAGAATACACCATGTAAATATATATATATATATGGAAAAAACTTGTTCTCAAAAACCAACTTTCTGAGTAGAAACAGATGTGACCATACAAGAAAAGAACTAATTCCAAGCAAGTAGTGTATAAAAAATTGGTGATTGTTAATTAATTACCTTTTCATCAATAAACTTAGCCCAAAAACGTGCATTGGCTCGCTGGTAAGGATCTTGAGGCAACAAAGGAGTTTGCTTCCATGTCTCTTCAATGTATTCAAGAATGACTAGTGATTCAGAGATGGCTTTACCGTTGTGGACAAGCACAGGAACCTTCTTGTAGATAGGATTGTACTGCAAGAGTAAAGGGCTCTTGTTGGAGAGATCTTCCCATATTTCTTCAAACTCAACACCCTTCAATTTCAGAGCCCAGATGACTCTTAAAGCGAATGGACTTGTCAATGACCTAAAAACCATCACTTCTTCAGCCATGATGTGCTTGGCTGTCTCAAGAATCATAGCTCGGTGCCTTTTATAATCACCAGCTTGACTGTGGCTTTCGCTACATTGTCCCTGAGATTATCAACATTTGAAAAACAAACACCACACTTTACATAATTTTCCCTTTCTCCCTGGTTTACGTCCAAAATTCCAGTTCTAACCAATATTTTATTTTACTATACTTCATGTCCAATTTAATTTACTCGTTTTTAATTCCAACTAATTTTAGAGAGGATCGAAACCCAAAAACTTAAAGTTCAAGGATTGCTTTCACAAATTCAAGAACATGAGAATGTTCTACATAATTTTAGCACTGAAAATACGCAAGTGATGACCTAATATTGCTGGCTGGACAGTTCAAGTTGGTCTTTATTAAGGTATGAATAATGATTTCTTCGAACTAGGTAGGTTTAACTTTCCATGATAGTTGGTCCAATGGGATCCGTGATTTGCAGTGAAAAGTCTCCTCCTCCTCCTCCTCTCTCTCTCTCTCTCTCTCTCTTTTTCAACGAGGACAAGAATAGTTCCCGCCGTTGTGCTGTGGGCAGCAAAAGAAGATTCAATAGAACTCTTTTTGAGCTGAGTAGGCTTTGAAGTTAACAAAACTTCATATATATATATATATATATATATACATACATAAAGAAAAGAACTACAATAATATATATATATATATATATATATATATATACATACATAAAGAAAAGAACTACAATAATATATATATATATATATATATATATATATATATACATAAAGAAAAGAACTACAATAATATATATATATATATAGTTGTTAAAAACAAATGAGGCAAAATGACATTTAAAATCACCTAAAAACATAATTGAAACTTTAACATCCTAAGCCATAAAATAGACATGTCTATTCAATATCCTATTATTACAATGAAAATTAGACATACACCTTTATAAAATAGCGACCTAAAGAACATTTTTTTTATAATGCTAGTTGTTAATTGTGACACTTTATAAAGTGTGAGATGACTTTTGAAGATACTTCTGAAGAAGTTCTTTTAGATGGATCATTTTGTTAAATTTAAAAAATATATATATTAATTTTAATCCACATAAAAATATAAAAAGAACTAAGATTTTGATAAATTCCTTGAGTTTTACATGAATGCCTAATTTTAACAGAATTCAAGAAATGAGAGCATTGTTTCAATGCTTGAAAATAGCCGAGTAATTTCAAACTTAATTAAATAATAATAATAATAATAAATTAATCAAGAGCAGCAACTTTTCAAACCTATAATTGCTAAAACAAGGCATTACAAGCTTATAATTGCTAAGAATAAAAAGCTTGAATGCAAAAGCTTACCAATATAATTGAGCTTCTTAAAAGAAATTTGAATAAAAGCAAAAGTCAAAACAAATCATTTTCTCCACGTTTATTTATCAAATCAAATCTTAAAAAAAATTCTTAAATTTATACAAGGTCTTGTTCAACATCTCTTGTAAATTAAACTTGGGGGTGTTTAATCAAACTGAAAATTAATTGTCGAATACGTTAAGTACTCGAATATGTTTTTGACAAGATGTTTGGTATTTATAGAAAATCAAGTGTTGAATATAATGAGCTTTTTTGATAAATACATTAAGACTATATACATGACAATTTTAACCTTGTAATTGTAACATGATATTTTTAAAAAAAATATATATATATATATAGATGTGTTTGTGTGTATAAATAAATAAATATGATTATTAATAAATAAAAAATTAAATATGGTCTAAGATAACATTAACTAGTATTTTCCGAGATGGTTGCACCGATAATGGAGAAGACTTCTTCTATTTTAGCAATGGGAATGGTAGAATTTGTTTTTCAGTTGGTTTTTATATTTAAAGTTATAAAAATATATAAAGGCGATATAATCATATTTGAAAGGTTTTAAAAATATTTCAACCGAGCATATTAATCAAAAAGTAATAAGTTAAAAACTTTAACTTATCCGATTTAGTAGATTTTGATAAAACTTAAATTTTTAATATGAGATTATTTAGGGTATCAAACAAATTTTTTATATTAAGTACTACAATTTAATTTTTTAAACTACGTAAATAGATTATCAAACACCTCTTTAATTTTGATAACACTTGAACTCATTTTCTTTTTGTTTAATATGCAAAATAATAAATTTACAGAGCTATTCATTAGATCAAGCAATTTGCAACAACCAATCTAATGTTAAATTTATGAAGTTTGTCAAACCCAAAAATTTGCCCTCCCTTTTATTCTTTTTTATTCCACAATTTTTATTTTTATTTTTATTTATTATTATTATTTTTTTTTTTTTGCTTTTTACGAATTTTACTTTACATGTGCACATTTATTGTTATTATCATTATCATCATTATTATTAGATTTAGTATAATTTGTCCTTCATTCTATCTAAAAATTAAAAGAAAAAAAGAAAAAGAAAAACACAAAAATTAGGTTAATTTCTTTTTTTCTTTTTTCTTTTTTCTTTTTTTTTGCATAAAAATAAAAATATAGACAAGATTAAATGTTGAGGAAACAAAATCAGGAGTGCAATTGAATAAAATTAGAACTAAAATTTTTGAGCTTTTTTTCAGAAAATGAACTGGATTTTCTCAACGTGTGTGTAATCAAACATTAACTCAACATACCAAGAATTAAATATTTTTTTAAAAAAGGAGAGTGATAGGTAGAAATCATAAAATAAACTAAAAAAAAAACCAGATGAGGTCCAATCCAAAAGTAGAAGTTCAGGAATTCAAATAAACTAAACTTCAGAAAAGTTTGGCCCATCTAACCGTCGTGTATGATTTGGAATTAGGTTGCATGAGATTGTGACCTGCACAGGGCTGAAGCAATTTGAAACTAACACAAATTTTTTATTGCATTCATTTGACAAGATAGCAGAGACAACAACATGCACGTTTCTGGTTATAGCTAGGCTGCCGGACGACGCTGCAGCTCTCCACAGGAAACTATAATACCAGAAATCACCGTCAAAGGTGATTGATTCTTTTCTGCATTATTCGTATATATATTCTAGTAACATTACAGGTCTGCAAATTAAGCAGCATAAACCATTCATTTAGGTGTTTCTTTTCCAAGACTGGCCTCACGCATGGCAACAAGCTTTTCAGCTATCTTGCCTCTATCGGGCCAGCTTTGACGGACGACTGGAACATTTGCAAATTCCTGCTTCCATGCCGCTAAGGATGGAAATTTTTCCTCGTCTGCTTGTTTCAGACCTGCTGCGTCCTCAAAGATATCAAGGTAATAAGCAAGCCATCCTAATGCAAGGTCTGCTAGTCCAATTGTCTCCCCACCAAAGAATTTCTTTCCTCTGAACTCGTCTTCTAAATGTCGTAAGTTCTCCAAGGATTCAAGCACCCCTTTTTCTTGCTCTTGTCCCTCCTTCAAGAACACACCCCACACAATTGATGGGTAGAGCTGCAACCACAAGTTAAGGACCAAGATTAGTCTAAGTTTGAAAATATTGCTTCAAATGGATTGATATTTGGTAAGTTCTCAAAAGGGTTTTCCTCACATTTAAATCTTGTATTTTTTTAAAAAAAAATTTTTTTGACTTGATTGAAATCCTTTTATCTTTCAAAATTTCTTACTTTAGATTTTTTGTTATGACGTCATTAATTAAAGATCCGTACACTATCTCTATTCTTCAAATATTTCTTATTTTATAATTATTTTACAATGTTATGTATCAATCATTATAATACAAATCTGTTCTTAAAAACCAACTTTCAAGTAGAAATAGATGTGACGAAGCTAAGACTCGTCCAAAACATTGATACTAGGAAAAAAAAAACTAATTTCAAGCAAGTAGTGTATAAAAAATTGCTATTGTTAATTAATTACCTTTTCATCAATAAACTTAGCCCAAAAACGTGCATTGGCTTGCTGGAAAGGATCTTTAGGCAACAAAGGAGTTTGCTTCCATGTCTCTTCAATGTATTCAAGAATGACTAGTGATTCAGAGATGGCTTTACCGTTGTGGATAAGCACAGGAACCTTCTTGTAGATAGGATTGTATTGCAAGAGTAAAGGCTCTTGTTGGAGAGATCTTCCCATATTGCTTCAAACTCAACACCCTTCAATTTCAGAGCCCAGATGACTCTTAAAGGAAATGGACTTGTCAATGTCCTAAAAACCTTCACTTCTTCTGCCATGATGTGCTTGGCTGTCTCAAGAATCATAGCTCGGTGCCTTTTATAGTCACCAATTTGACTGTAGCTTTCGCTATATTGTCCCTGAGATTATCAACATTTGAAAAACAAACACCATACTTTACCTAATTTTCCCTTTCCCCCAGCTGGTTTTACTTCCAAAATTCCAGTTCTAACCAATATTTTATTTTACTATACTTCATATCCAATTTAATTTACTCGTTTTTAATTCCAACTGATTTTAGAGAGGACTGAAACCCAAAAACTTAAAGTTCAAGGATTGCTTTCATAAATTCAAGAACATTAGAATGTTCTACATAATTTTAGAATATAAAATACGCAAGTGATGACCTAATATTGCTGGCTGGACAGTCCAAGTTGGTCTTTTTATTGAGGTATGAATAATGAAGTCTTCGAACATGGTTTGACTTTCCATGATAACTGGTCCAATGGGATCCATGATTTGCAGTGAAAATCTACACTTTTTCTGCAACAAGGACTTTATAGAATAGTTCCCGCCGTGATGCTTTGAGTAGCAAAAGAAGAAGATTCAAACAGAGCTGTTTTTGAGCTAAGTGACGCTTTCAAAATTCAAAGCAGCAACTTTTCGAACTTATAATGCTAAAAAACAAGCCTTTACGAGCTTATAATTGCTAACAATACAAAAAACATAAGCTTCGTAAAAGAAATTTGAATAAAAATAAAATTAGCAAGAACAAATCTTTTTATCATGAACCGGCTATCAAAGTCGAGAAATTTTGTTGTACGTACTGAAATAGTAATTGAAGAATTATAAGTAAAGAGAAATTGAGTCTAATTGAAAAAAATATTTTTTTATTCAGTCTTTATATTTTTAAATTTTCTGATAATTTAATTAATATTTTGGTTTTTTAATTTATTTTGATTTTTTTCTTTAAGAAAAATAAAAAATATAGAAGGATTGATTTGAAAATATGACATTAAAAAATAAAATAATATTAAATTAAACATAATCAATAAGTAAATAATTAATACTTAAAAAAAACAGGGACTACTTGATTCATTTCTAGAAAATAGAGGGGATAATTCACTCACCCTTCTACAGCCGGGTACCAGTTTTAATGAAATAAGCATCGGTGACGTGTACATATTGAATAGGAAAGTGTTAAAAAGCAAGTGGTTTTAGCATTTCTCTAATTACTTTAAGCATCCGTTTGGGAAAAAATTTATAATACACAAAATATAACTAGTGACATGTATAGTAGTTACTTATTGGATCCATTTTGAGGAGAGAAATAGATATATATAAAAAAAAGAAATTATATCCATACTCATAAAAAATGATAAGAAGATTTTCACGTCTGCTCAAATTTTTTTATTTTCTCTCTTCTATTTTTCTCTCTTTCTTTTTTTGTATCTATCTCTCCTCAAAGTGAGCTCAAGGAGTAACTACCGTACATGCTACTTAGTTACTCTTGTGTATTATAAAATTTCTCATCTGTTTGGTAAGTTGATAAATTCCTTAATTTCACGGAAATTAATGTGAGAAAACTATGTTACTTGTTTAATTTAATTAAGATTCTCACATTTGTTGAAGTATAAGATTTCTAAAATGTTAATTTTCTTCCTTAAACTAAGAGTTGCTTTTCTTATGGATCGAGAATCACATTTGACCTTTTTTTTCCCCCTTTTTAAGTAAGTAATTGATAGAAATATCAATGGAATCAGCTTTACGAGTTTCTACACGTAAATTATGCAGGAGAAAGTATTGTATCTTTTTACTTTATTGTAGAATAAATATATTTATTTATCTTTTTATAATACTTAAAATCTCTTATATATCTCTAAATTTTTAATTATATTTTATTTATTTTTTAAAATATTTGAAATGTTTGATTTGCCATTCCAGTCAAATATATAGGTTATAAATTTTTTTTACTGAAATACCTCCGATCGAAATGTATAAAAAAAATTCTAAAAACTTCAAAAATAGAATATGTAAGTCATGTGACTTTAAATTTTTTTTTTTTTGTCATTTCAGTAAATGATATTTGGATTAAAAAATTTTCTATAGTCAAAAAATTTGATCAGAATAATGTATTCTACATTTAAAATTTTTCAGAGATAGATGAGATGCAATTAAAAATCTAAAGACAGATAAAAAACTTTGAATATTATATAATAACAGATGAGTATATTTATCCCTCATTGCATTAATTTTATATATTAATATTTTTATTAATTAATTTATGAGGAATTTGGCTTGGGCTGATTTGTTTTACAGAAGAGCTCAATCGTCCACCAAAAACTAGATCTGGATGTATTCCGAAGTTGGCTTAACTTAGAAAATAATAAATTTAGTTTCGCTTAGTGCGAAAGACAGTACAAAAACACCCCATTAGAATGAATCAATAATGGAGAGAGTGTCTATAGGTTATGTTCAAGTGAAAATTTCAATAAAGAGGACTTCTGCAGATAGTAATGTTTCTTTCATTAGAAACAAGCAGAACTATGCTTTTCAATCTTAAATCTGTATAAAGATTTTCATCATATAATTAGAAATATATGTGTGCGACCAGCCACTTAGCATTTCTTTCAAACTTGTTCTAAATTCTATTAATCTGATCCCATCTATCTCACCAGAGTAATTGTTAGGTGCAACAAATCAGATTCTGAATATCACTCCAATACTCACGGATTCCATGATCAATCTCAAGATTAGATTACTGGAAAAATCTATGCTGTGTTTTTTATGCTTGTAATTGCTCAAGCATGGGGGATCCATGTATCAAGGCCATGAACATGAGAGCCAACACAAGCATGGTGCATCAAATATAACACAAGCATGGCGCATCAAATATAAGATTATGAGGAGTTCTAGTAACAAGAAATAGAAAAGACCAAAGAAAATTATATAGGACTTCGTTTCGACACTGATTGGAGCTGCGTTACTGTGTCAGAATTTTCGTTTACTGATCTCATTTTTCTGGGAATCGATCCCCTTTTGACTGTACGAGAATACGTGGAGCTCACATGTCTGGAAGCACAGCAGAACGTTCCAACAGAAAATATTAGTATTTCAGAAGCAGTTTTCACTTTTTAAACTAGAAAGCAAATACAATACTATTTACTTTTTTCTCAGAATCTTGCTAAAAAACACTACAACTCAGAAAGATAGTGCTTCCACTTATTCTTAGTTTTATTTTGCTACAATAGACCAGAAGAGGGGAAAAAAAAAAGGAACCAGATTTTCACTTTTTAGCATTATAAGTGAATTCTGAAGAATTATTATTCTTATTCATCACTGCCGCCATTCCTTGCGAGTCCTCTTCATCACTTGAGGGAGTTTTCAATGTCGATCACAAATCGGTACTTGACATTGTTCTTTATCAACCTCTCAAGTGCTTCATTCACCGACTGAATTGGTACTATTTCTAATTTGGGGTAGATTTTGTGAATGCCACAGAAATCCAACATTTCTTGTGTATCTTTTGTCCCACCTACTGCACTTCCAGAAATGGATACCATACCTGCCATAGTAAGGGCAAAATGCAAATCCAGGTTAATGAATCAGAATTCTGTAACTTAAACTGACCTTTCTTTTTTTGCTTATTTAAATCACATTACCAAGAAGAAGCTTCAAAGGACTGAGCTTGATTTCACTTGGAGCGCCCACCAAGACTAGGACTCCAGCAGTCTTCAAAGTTGAAATGTAAGGATCAACTGGATGATCACCTGATGCTGTGTCAATAATGAAGTCCAGGGATTTATCTAAAGCCTGCAAATAAGAACCATTAATCTGCTATCAGATCTCAATCCCTGGAGGGACCCTGCACGAGAAAACTCATTGGACTGCTTACCTTCATTTGCTCCATGTCAGATGAGACTACAAAGTTGTCTGCTCCAAGCAGATTCAATGCTTCCTCCTCCTTCGAAATGCTTGTGCTGAAAACGGTGACTTTCATTCCAAAAGCCTTTCCGAACTTCACAGCCATGTGACCAAGGCCACCTAGTCCAATCACCCCAAGGGATTTTCCTGGTTGGTTCATCTTGTGACGAATCATGGGAGTGTAGACGGTTATGCCAGCGCACAGCAATGGCGCTGCTAAAGCTAGTGGATAGCTATAAGGTATTCTGTAGCAGTATCTGTTAAAGAAACAAGACAACTATTTCTGTATAAACTGCTTCATACATTATGAATTCTAAAGTCTAGATGTAGGAATGCAAGCCTTTCATGAACAACAATAAAACTGGAGTATCCTCCTTTCGTGACGGTGCCGTCGATACTATTAAAGGTGGTAACAATTCCATTTGCACAATGCACTTCAAGCCCATCATCACAATAATCACAATCCCTGCATGAATTGATATATGTTCCCACTCCGACATGGTCTGCGATTTTGAAGCCACGAACATCAGATCGAACTTCTTGTACAATTCCAACTATCTCGTGACTACACAAAATGAGACATCATAAACATGTCAATTGAAGTAGAATGAAGTGCAAGAGAAAGTGTCAGAGACATTTCTTTTTCACTGCATTGTAAAGAAAGAAAGAAAGGAAAAAAAAAAAGAAACGTTCTTGTCGATCACGTGCATACCCTGGTACTACTGGGTATAATGACTTTCTGAATTTTCCCCTGGTATAAAGAACATCAGCATAACAAATTCCACAGTGTGTTATTTTTACTGAAATGTCATCTTTCCCGACAGCCCTGCAGAATTTCAAACAATTAGGAGTTGAATATTTGTGAATAACATTCTTGTTGAATATTTTCCACATTTTTTTCTTTGATTTCTGTTATCATTATGATCTTCATACCTTCTGTTAAATTTATATGGGGATAGAACTCCAGATTGATCTCTAGCAGCCCAACCAAGGCAATTGTCGCTTTTGTCCGAAGCCATTCTTTAAGTTCTCTGTTAGAAATGAAATGGAACATAAATTCAAACAAAACAGTAACCTCTCTGAATTTACCTACCTTATGAATTAGGCCTTCTAATCAGCATTCAGATTCAGTGAACAATATACAAAATCAGCATTTGGAAAGTTCACCAGGAATAACAAAGAGCAATCGCATGGAAGTTAGAGATTGAACCTGTAAAAGCAGTAGATAAGCAAGGATGATTGCTCAAGAGTAGATCAGGAAGAGAAGGGACAAGCAGACTGTGGAGAGAACCATGCATATGAGTAAATACATATAGGGATCCCCGGAGGGACGTCATGAAATACTTCATATCAAGGAAAGAAAGTTTGTAATCCAGTCCAAAAAAAAAAAAACGTGCACTAAATCAATGGATGGCTACAGGATTCTTGACCCAGAACAGAACACCTGATGACATATGAGGTGAACTATCGGCTATCATATGACGCACTTTCTGATCTCATGTAGTTCCTAACTTCAACCAATTGCTAATTAATTGGTGAAAAAGAAAATTCACTATTTCAATTTGTTTATGCAAGTTTCCTAGCTGAGACACATGGTAATAGTAATCTGATTTCTCATCTGTTCATAGTGATCTGATTCGATATTCACCACATGTGATTGTCCGAAGCTGCAGTGAAGTTTCTTTTTCTCTTTTTGAGTAGAAGTTGTCAGGTCTTTGTGTGTATTTGTGGATTTTGGTTGCAAGGGATTTAGGTGAACTTGAGACTGCTTCAGCAATTTGAAAAATAAAAGATTTTATGAATTTGGAACTAGCAGAATTGTGTTTCCTGTCTTTTGATTCTGTCGAATAAATATTTCATCATGGCATAGAAAGCATGTGCTACAAAATTCAGGTATTTTTTGCTATTTGAGGAGGAATAAATATTTTTGATGAATGTTACAGGAATTCCACTTTTTAAATTTAGAAATTTTGAAGGAAATAAAAAAACTAATTCTTCAACTTGTCTTTGTAGCTAGAACAAAAACGAAACTGGTGTTTCCTTCTTTTGTGATAGTGCCATCCACATCAATGCCGTTAAATGTTGTAAGTAGTCCATTTGAGCAATGAATTTCAAGCCCTTCATTGCAGTGCTTGTAATCCCTGACATATGTTCCTACTCCAACATGGTCACCAACTTTGAAGTGATAAATCTCAGATCCAACTTCTTGTACAATTCCAACTATCCATGACTACACAACAAACATAATTAATCTCATCAAGTAAAGGTTTAATGCAGGAAATTGACCATCACAGTTCTTTTGTAACAATAAGCACCCAGTTCAGCCAAAAAAACCAGAGACCTAAATGGCAGCAGCAATGATCTGCATTGCAATAGAGAAGAAAAGAAAGTGTTCATCACACATCCATGAACTAGGATATGTAAACTTTTCAAGTTTACTTATGGTGTAACGAACATCAGCATAACAAATTCTGCGATGAGCTATTCTTGCTGCATAAAGTCAAGTTCTACAAAAAAAAAAAGATATAAGAATTGAAAATGAGTCACAGGGATGAAATAGATCATGGTTACAGCATTCTTCGCCTAGAACCGGAAAAGAAATGGTGATTGATAAAACATTGATGACAGAGGAGATGATCTATATTCCAGCATGTGACACATTGTCTGATCATCATGTTGAAATCACAGTTGTGGAATTGTTGAAAAATGCAATCATAGGAAATAACCCTTTTTATTTGTTTTTGAAACTAACCAAGCAGAGAAAGATTTTATTGTTTTGTCGAGAAAAATCGTACTTAGGAGATTTCTTTTTCATTGCAATTTCCACTACAGAATACATTAAACAGATCGAATCACCAAAAAAGGCTCAGAGTCAAAAAAATCTTTCCTTCCATAATTTTTTGCTAGAAATTCTCCAGTACTTTTTGTGCAATCATGTGGAATTAGGTTGCATGGGAAGCTGATTTTTATACTACTGAATCAATTTGAAAATAACACAAGTTTTTTTATTGCTTTAATTTGACAACATAGGAGAGACAACATCATATGTTTCTTGTCATAGGTTGCAGGATGAAGCTGCAGCTCATGACAGGAAACTAACAATACCAGGACTCACTATCAGAGGTGATTCGCTTCTTTTCTGCGTTATTCATTTTTTCTTGCAACATAAAAGCTGTGCAAATTAAACTGCACAAACCATTCATTTAGGCGCTTCTTTTCCAAGATTAGCCTTACGCGTGGCCACAAACTTGTCAACCAGTCTGTCTCTATCCGGCCAGTTCTCATGGATGATTGGAGCATTTGCAAATTCCTGCTTCCATGCCGCCATGGATGGAAATTTTTCCTCGTCTAACAGTTTTAGACCTGCTATCTCCTCAAAGATATCTAGATAATAAGCAAGCCACCCTAATGCAACGTCTGCTAGCCCAATTGTCTCCCCACCAAAGAATTTCTTTCCTCTTAGCTCATCTTCTAAATATTTCAAGTTCTCCAAGGCTGCAGGTATCCCTTCTTCTTGCTCTTTTCCCTCCTTCAAGAACACACCCCACATAATTGATTGTGAAACCTGCATCCACGAGTAAAGGATTAAGATTAGTCCAAGTCTGATCATACTGCTTCAAATTGATTCATATTTGATCAAGTTCATAAATTCTGCCTTTTAACTATGGAAGATTCATGACTGAGAGCAACAATTCTCAAGCTGTGATGTATAAAGAAGAAGAACTAAAACCAAGCAATTAGTCCACATAAAAATCACCGATTATTCTGAAAGTGACACAGCACCTAAATAATTACCTTGTCATCACCAAACTTGGCCCAAAAACGTGCGTTGGCTTGCTGGTAAGGATCTACGGGCAACAAAGGAGTTTGCTTCCATGTCTCTTCAATGTATTCAAGAATGAGCAGTGATTCACAGATGACTTTACCGTTGTGGACAAGCACAGGAACCTTCTTGTAGATAGGGTTGTATTGCAGGAGTAAAGGGCTCTTGTTGGAGAGATCTTCATATATTGTTTCAAACTCAACGCCCTTCAATTTCAGTGCCCAGATGACTCTTAAAGGAAATGGACTTGACCATGTCCTAAAAACCTTCACTTCATCTGCCATGTCGTGTTCTGTTCATCTCCATCAAACATAGCTCAGTGCCTATATAGACCAGATTTTGACTGTCTTTTGCTGTATCGTCACTGCGATTATCAACAATTAAATAACAACCACTATACTTTTCCAAATTTTCACTTTCTCTCGGTTCAAAACCAATATTTTTTGGGCAAGGCTTTCTTATATATTTTCATAATAAATTGTTAAATCCGAAATCGGGATATCAAAATTCCTCCACCACAGATTAGTGGATCCTAGGGGTAAAACGCACTTGAAACCAATAAAACAGACAGTGGAGGACATTCAGAAATCTGATTTGGAATC